AGGCCACACACTCTCTTCCTGACTAGACCTCTGACCACTATCTTTGTTGAGCGACCCGTGACTGCCCACGTGGTATTCGTGAGGCGGGAGTAACCGGCGACTATTCATAGTGAAAATCTGTTATCACAGTGCCACAGTGAGTGTGGCTGGTGTGCGTATGCACAAGTTTGTGTGTTGTACTTATAGATGTGAAATGCTACCGATGCCGTGAGTGCATCAGTGTTAAATTGACATGAACTGTGTGATAATATTGTTTGTGTATATGTTTAATGTATTGGAAGTATGCTGGAGGTGAAACTCTATGTTGACTGTGTGTTTTTTGGTAATGTAGAGTACTCACCCTTACATTCATTTTTCAGGTAATCAAGACGATCAACACCGAACTCAGTGAAGGGGTGGATGGAACTACTATAGGACTTAGGATATTATTTTGAAAATTGTTGTGTTTGAATAAGTCCTGTAGCAACTGTTTGATGTAATTTGTAACCCCTTTCTTTATTTGAAATGATTGATGAAACATGAATTGAAAATGAAAATTTTATTATTTCAAAAATTTGCGAAGTTCCTTATTTATTGAAATTAAATTTAAGGTGTTACAGTAAGCCTATAATATAGGTAGACGGTACATTTTTGTATGATAAGTATAAGCAAACATTGCTAATTGCTACAAGTCAAGATGGCAATAACAGTGTGCTACCTATAGCATTTGTCATTATTGAAGGAGAAACATTATCAGTATAGGAATGGTTCTTAGCTATGATCCGTCTAAATGTTACTGATAAAACTGGAATTTGTTTGATATCTGATTGTCATCAAAGTATTAAAGGTGTTGTGTCTAACCCACACATTGGGTGACAACCTCCTAATGCTTACCATGTTTATTGGATTCGTCACATTGCAAGCAATTTCAATAGAAGATTCAAAAATTCCACCTTGAAGAGTATGCTTATGAAGTTAGGTAAGTACAACATAACTATTAAATTTTACATTATCAATGAATATATACTTATTTTTTACCATAAGCCTTCTTAATTTAAATGTAGCATATACACCCTGCAAGCAAAGATTTGAAGCAAAGCTTAATACATTTTGTTCGCATTCTCCTAAAGTTCAAACATGGATTGACAACATATCAAAAGAAAAGTAGAGTTTGGCTTATGATGATGAAGGGCAGAGGTATGGTCACATGACGACTAATTTGTCAGAGTCAGTGAATAAAATTTTAAAAAGGGTAAGAAATCTCCTAATTACTGCCCTTGTCAAAGCAACCTATAGTAGATTGGTCGAATATTTTGTGAAGCGAGGTGAAAGCGCAATTAATGACATGAACAATGGTAAAAGGTATTTAACTTAAAACTTTATATATTTATTTTTTTTTACTTAATTCCTTATTCTTTTACTCTAAATTTTTTTCAAATTAATTCATTTTATAATTAAGTGATGAATAACTATATTTTTTTCTTCCATAATTTTAAATTATTTAAAATTTCTTAATTATGTGACATAATATTTATTTAAATATTATTACAAATTTAACAACTTCATTCTTTTAAATGTAAATTTATTAATTAACATATTTCTTTCTTATTATTTCAATTTTATTTTGTTTTAATTATTTTTTTTATTTTAGTAACATTCTAATAATCACATATAATTCTTCCTCATATATTTATCTAATTTAATTATTTTTTATTTTTTATTTTATTTATATTTCTCAATTAATTTATATTTATATATGTTAAAAATTTTGTTATTTTAACATAATAATATTTGTATAACTAAATAATATCATCATTATTTTTACTTTTAAATACAATTTCTACATTAAAAAAAAATATTCTAAATTTTAATTTAAATATTTCCTATTTTTCTATTTTTATCTTTTTCTTATTTTCTTATTTTTTACATGCACAAAACAACAAAATAAATTATAATCCTCATTTTCACTAACCTTTTAACATGAATGGAAATGGTGGACCACCCGAAAGCCCCTTTCAATTTTGCAATCTTCCTGAAATGGATTCTGCAACAAAAACCAATAAAAGAAATTATTTTAAAAAAATATATATTTATATTTATATCTAATATATGAAAAAGTCATTTATTCTTACCTTACAAAATTTAAAAATAGCAAAACTTCCACCCCTCTGCATTTTCATTTTTGCTTTCTTGTCAATTTTTTTTAAGCTCTTCAATTACTGAACGAAGAAGATGAAGAACCACAGACCAGAAGCACCAAGGGAGAGAGAGGGATGGACGAGCGACAATGACCTCCTGCAGCAATGGCACGTGGACTAATCATATGTGTGTCGGTCCAGAACATATCAGCACTTGTGTCGCCAAATGCAGTACCGACACTAAAGTCAGATCTGAGCCATCCGACACACTGGACAACATCCACGTCTTTGGTTTAACACTGTAGATCAATATTTTAAAAATCTGTCTGTTAACTTTGTAATAGTGTCAATTACAATTTGACGACACTATTAATTTTTTTAAAAAAAATTATGTCGGCTATATATCTTCCAACACTATTTCCACGTAAGCCCTAGAGACAGCATTTGTTATGAAACAACCTTATTTGGAAAAATTGTTTAGAGAGCAGTTAGCGTAGTAAGAAAGGGAACATTTTTTTCAACCAAAGAATTAAACAGGAAAGAAAAATTAAAAAAAAATACTAAGAATTCAAAAACGTCAAAGAGATCTATCAAAACATAATGGATTCAGGTTAGTACTCTCTAAACTTTTAACTATATAAAAACCTATAAATTATGTGAGAATCATGTAATTCAAGATCAATAAAAAGAAATTCATAATAGTTATAGCAAAAATAAAAAATTACAGGACATAATAAAATTTAACAGTCATATCGTTAGAATAAAATCTAATTGTCACATCATTGGAATAACTAAAATTTTATTTATAATAAAAATTAACTTAAATGAGTCATCACATGTAAAAGCCTTTTCACCATTGCACTTTTTTGTTCGTTCCTTTCAAAATTTTCTTTCAAGAATACTCATATGATTTCTAAATTTATAAAATCCCTCCCGCCCCCGCTTATTTAATCTTTTGGTTCTAATGCAATTAAGTTACGTTCGTCTAAATTTTTTTTTCCTATGAATCTTCCTAGGTGTCTTGAAGCATCAAATTGATGCTTTATTTATAATCCTTTCAGGTGGTGTATAATCTATATTTGTGGGGAACTTGCCTGCTTCTGTCTCACTGAAGCTGAGATTGGATGGGTGTTTAAGAAATTTGGCAGAATTAGCCTGGTGGTGTATCTATTAAGGCCCAGGTAAGCTTCTTTCTTATATAGATTGAATGCCTATATAGTCAGGGAATTGGAGTTGCCTATGCTTTTGTGGAATTCATACACACTTTCTAAATTCAATTAAGGTTTGAAGTTATTTTATTTACTGTTAATTTTCACATTAGACTTGTTCTTCTTGTTTGATGATCTAAATGTTCAATGGAAAAAAAAAAAGTTTCAGAATTTGATGTTATATTTGTACTTTGTAATTTCATATTATTTTCTTATATTTTATGCTTCAATTCCGTCGTTAATATTCCGAATAACCAGGTATTAAAATTCCACTACAAGTGAAGCAAAGTATGATATCTTATGTTTTGTAATTTTCATATGCAAACTCAAGCATCATCAATTTTCATTATATGTTTTAGTAATTCATGCCTTCAGATTATTTTCATTTTGTATAAATATAAAAATGTGTATGTCATTGTAGGCTTCTCCCTTTCCATTTGCTGGAAGACGAGTATATATAGAGGAACGAAAAATAAGAAAGTGACTTGGCACCTAAGAGTATCATCACCACTCTTTGATTCAAAGAATAAAGAGATTGCACTTATTTCATGTCTGCCACTACAAAATTGAGTGTCATCACACGTCCATGGATTTCCTGCACTGTACAAAACAAGTGCATATCAGTTAAGACCCATATCATCATATAATAGGAAGACAGGTAGAAATTGATACAAACACAACATGTTAAACATAAACGATAATCAATAAAGTATATACAGGGAACTCTGAGAAAAACAATATAACGTTAAGGCAAATTGTACACCTTGTTTTGTTTACTGAAATGACCAAATAAATTGGGACATTAATTTTTACGCTTTTGCTCCTACTCTCACTGTATCCATATTATTATGATCACTGCGTCCAGACACAAGTCCAATATTTTTGAGATTGCATCTTATTACGAACTTGTAATAGTTTATACATCAAAAACAAAATTTCTTATGCTATTTACTTATTTCTCCACGCGACTGACACTCCTATCAATGGTCTATCTAATGTCCATTTAATGATTTTATACTTTATTAAGAATATTGTGAGAATTGACCAAAATCACATTGCATCGATTATTGTTTGACTTTCTTAAGTTTCATAAAAAATCAATTCGTACCATCTAAGCAACTTTTAGAGGATAAAAGATAAAAATAAAATTTAAAATATTAAATCATAACACATTAAAATTTAAAATATTAATTTTATTTAAATCTAAAAAATAACATTTAATAATATATTTCCTTAGACTTCTTTTATATGACACATCTATCTAAAGGCATTGGATCTAAATCCACTATCAATATTTATTTTTTGTTAGTATTTATTTAAATTTTTATCAATTCTATTTTTTTCTAGTCAACTTGGCTTAGCAGTCCCAAAACAAAACCAACTCAAACTCCTAAGAGTCTAAATGTCAAGAGCTTATAAACTTAAATGAGAGTACAAAATTTGGGAGCCGAATCTAAACTAATTTATTAGCACATTAATTTGCCTCCATACATATGTAGACAAATCTTACAAACTAGCCCGATTTCAAAGTATTGTTAAACTTGGTCATGCAAAGCAAAAATATTTACAGTAACACATATTCCTTTGTTGAAGAAAAATAGAAAAACTAAGAATTAAGGAAATGCATAAAAATAGCAACAACAAAAAATTGAGCGGAACAAAAACTTTCGAACAGGAACTAAAATACAAATATTTTACTTATAAAGACAAAATCCGTTGTTTATTCTATTACTACTGGTTGGATGACAAGAAATTAATGTCAATGAAGATTAACTGCTATTCAAATTATGCCACGGCCTTGTTTCTCCTTTTGGTAGTGGGAGGGTATCACCAACCAAAGCAATACCCTCAGTTGAATCATCTAAATTTAAACATGCTAGTGTAACAAGGATTTAGAAAATAAATAAAAGGGGAAAACAAAAATAAAGCACCAGAAATACAGGATGCCCCAGAAAAAAGAATTTTAAAAAGATCCATTTACTCAATTGTGAAATCAGTTGGGGAACTTGACGTGATACAACAGGCAAATAGCATCTTTTCAATCTAATATATAGTTACTATAAATCCAACCTACTGAGTCAAGCTAGGCTGTTGTTTCTAACAAAAATGATTAATCTATTTTGCACCACCAAGGTCCTTTCAGAAATCGCATCCCATCAAAGATGGCTTAGTCCACATCCATAGCAGCTTCTTCACTAGTCATATTACTAGACCACAGCTTTATGGTGCGATCATGAGAGACAGTAACGATATAACCGCCATCTGCAGCCAATAACAAGATATGCCAAAATCAGAAAAGATTGACAAGGTAGACAAATAATATTGACACAACCAACAATGCTAATTTCTAAACAATGGACAAGTTACTGCACTGTTGTTTTAACTTCAAAGCTTTTACACCATATTAAAGGAAACCCGGTATCTTGGTAACAGCTTATTTTATGGAAACATCATATTTAGCAATCATTATTCTTTGGAGAAATAATTGCTCAAGTTTCAAAATCTCTCTAAGAAAGCTGATAAACAAAAGTGATTATTTTTTTTAAAATAAGCTGCACCAAGCATGTTATACATTAAAGCATGCAAATCATGCTATATAACAGTTCACAAGCAACTAAACGTGCACAAAACAAATATATTTGGAATATATTTTCTTTGCTAACTGTTCTAATTTCTTCCTTTGGTAATGTTAAGAAACTTAAACCTAACTTACTCTCAAAAGCTAGCTCTTAAGAGGAGGACTGCCCTAACTTTTATAAGGAGTATTCTGATTCTATTCCTAACCAATGTAGGACATCTTAACACACTCCCCTCACGTTCAGGACTGGACATCTGGTGCGTAAAATTTGCAGGACTGAACATCTGTACGGGTAGACCCAACAGGATTGGACATTTGTGAACAACCTAATATTTAAACTGAATAGGCTCTGATACCATGTTAATAAACTTGGGCCTAACTTACTCTCAAAAGCTAGCTCATAAGAGGACTGCCCTAACCCTTATAAGGAATATTCTGACTCTATTCCTAACCAATGTGAACATCTTAACACACCTTCCTTAGGAAAAAGACTACCCTAGTCCTTATAAGAAGTATTCTAACTATATTTCTTACCATGTTAAGATATCCTACATTGGTTAAGAATAGAGTCAGAATACTCCTTATAAAGACTAGGGCAGTCCTCCTCTTGTGAATTAGCTTTTGGGAGTGAGTTAGGTCCAAGTTTTTTAACATGGTATCAAAGCCTATTCAGTTTAAATATTGAGCTGCCCACAAATGTCCAATAAAATCAGAATATTCCTTATAAGGGCTAGGGCAGTCCTCCTCTTATGAGCTAACTTTTGGGAGTTAGGTCCAAATTTCTTAACAGGTTATGAAAATGTTTCAAAACATTTATTCTCAAACTTATATGCCCTGTGAGAAGGCTGCTATTTGTAAATAAAGATTGACAAGTCTTCATCTTTCAATATTTGACCAAATATAAAAGGCAAAGAAAATGAAATATCAACCATTTTCATTCATTTCCTTTAATTTTGGCAACACATTGTATAAGAAGGAAGGAAATGAATACACAAGGAAAATCTAAGAAGCAAATAACAAAAATATTTGCAGGATTAAATCTCAGCAAAGTGTGAATAAGGTTTACATTTGAGGAGTTCCATTGAAATTTCTACAAAATTAGGGGTTTTTGTTATCTACTTATGGCAATTGCTCAAAGCATGTGCCCAAAAAACTCATTGCCGCACATCATTTGCTTATCAATTCATAACAACTATTCAGAGATATTCATTATCATTTCAAAACACTCACTAGCTACTTTTTATCATTTACAATTTGAGGGAAGGACATAGCCAGAGTGAAACTGACATATCAATTACATAATGGAATCACACATAAAGAAGCAAAAAGAGATTTTCAATCAGAGCCTTTGATGTATAATTCCTTTCTAAGATAGAAATCCTACCTCCAAGAACATCCACAGAAGTAACTTTTGCTTCATGGCCAGAAAGTGTTTTCACAGGCTTAAAGTCACGGGCTGACCAAACCTAAAGTTAAACCATATATATAAATAAGTATACTGACACGAAAATAAATTACTAAAGAATCTCAATACTTGTCTACAAAAAACCATTGTTGTTTTAGGTAAAACTACTATATATACCTTAGCTGTCATGTCATATGAGGCAGTTACCAAAAAGTAACCCTCTTGTGGCTCAAATTTAACTTGTGATATTAAATTAGAGTGAGCAGGAATTGTATAAAAGGATTTCTTCTTCCTCAAATCCCAAATGCGACAAGTATTGTCTTCACCGCCTGTGGCTAGATGATATCCATTTGGTGAAAAATTGATGCCAAGAACCTTAAAATGAAATACAATCAAAGTCAACCTTATGAATTTTCATTCTAAAATTGTGATTTTGATTGAGAAAGAGAAAGAGAGAGGGAGGGAGGAGGGAGTCTTCAATGTCTTACCGGCTTAACATGACCTTCCAATGCAAGAATACTTCTACCAGTTCGGAGGTCCCAAACACGAGCCAGAGCATCCAGTCCACAAGATGCAGCTAATGATCCATCATGGTGGAAAGCTAAACCATATACACTTCTACTATGACCTTCTTGAAGAAGCAACTCCTCTCCTGTTTCTATGTCCCATAATCTCCATGTCTTGTCAAAGCTAGCAGTGCCCAGGTACTTCCCTGATGGATGGAAGGCAATGCGTGCAAGACGGTCAAGATGACCCTCAAATGTCTTCAAAAGAGATCCTTGATCATTCCAATACCTTGCTGTCCGATCAGCAGAGGCAGTTGCTAAATGATTATGCTTAGGAGAATAAGCAACATCAGTAGCACGTTCTGTGTGCCCCTTAAAAGTGGAATACTTCTTTATTTTGGGCATGCTCCACATCTTGGCAGCCCCAGTCAGAGAACTACAAAATCAAAACAATCAATAGTAGATTAGACAAGAATGGTTTCACAAAGCAATGAAGGGTAAAACGTAAGGCTTAAGCTGCACAACTTGCAACAACAAGATACCAGGTAGCAAGCCATTTTCCATCTCTTGAGAAGGAGCAACCAGAAAGCGGCCGATCATCTCCAATTTCACTGAATTCAAGACTTAAATTCCCAGCCTGCTTCAATGCCCAATCCATCTCTGCATCCATGTCTTCATCTGGATCATCCCTTCTTCTCTGTGCACGTTGAAGCCGTGATGCCGCCCTCGACAAAGAATATTTAGCAATATCAATTCTGGCATCCAGAAGAGACTTTGACCCTTCAGTGTAAAATGGATACTGCAGTTCTTCCTCAGCCTCATCCATTGGAACAGAAGCTGCAGCCTCTTCATCCTCATGAGCTTTCATCAGCTTCTCTAGCTGGCCTTCAGCATCCAGCTTTGCCATTATCATCCTCAACCTGTCCCGCCTCTCCATCTCTCTCTCACCAAACAGAGTTATTGGTTCGCCAAGATGGCGGAGCCGAGCTCGCACAGCCATATCATTTGTAGGGACAGCAAGAGCAGCAGCACGCCTCTTCATCATGAGTTCCTGCATTGCCTTTTCCTGCCGCTCTCTTACCAGTCTACTCTCTTCAGATATCTCATACTCCCCAGCACCCTGGTTGATTCTTGCATTCGATTCATCATTATCTGAATCGGAGTCACTTGATCCAACCTCGCCATTTTGTGGTACAGGAGGCCTAATGACTGGTGGCCGAACTGGGAGTGGTGCCAGTGGGCGAGGCGGAGGAATTGCAGGAATTGGAGCTAAAGTAGGTACAGCAGAAGGAGCAACAGCTTGTGGAATAGCAGGTTGTATTGGAGGGGTAAGAGATGCACTAGCAGAAGAAACAGGGTTTGGACCATCAGAGGCAGGTACAGAGGGTTCTGTAGTAACAGTTGAGGTTGAGGGTGTATTTTCCTTCTCCACTTCCATGATTCCTAGGCAAAAATGGGGAAAAAAAAAAAAAACAATACTTGAAAATTTTAGACAGAAAAATCAAATTCAAATAATCATCATTACAAAGAAAAATAATATAGCTACACACAAATGTTAAATGTAATTGTCAATTTGCCATGTTTTTAAAAGAAACACAAGAACAAATGTGCTGAGGGCATATAATAAAACTAAAAATAAAGCATCTAAGAATAAAAGAACTCAAATATCATAGACATAGAATTTATAGGTAAGGGAGTGCATGGATAGGTTCAGCACAAAATCAAACCAAATCTATTTATAAACCAATTATAAGGATTGGATTTCAAACCAATCCACTTCATTACAAAAGTGGATTGGTCAAAACTAATCCAGTCTTGAACTGGTTTTAAAACCATTTTTCTTTAAACATGAATACAATCCAGTAAGCCTTTTTCCTTAAAAATTCCAATTATAAAACCAGTTTTGATTATTGTGATATACGGACAAAGGCATTTGTTGATTATCGCTTGCATCCTAAAACTAAAATAACCAAGAGATCAAAACACATTTTTACCTATTGATCATATTTAAGATAATTCAAGACATGATGCTGATCAATGCATAATAAACAAGTGGTTTTTTGTATTTTAGACAATTTACTCAGTCTTTGATTTTCCTTCAGTCCAAATGGTCAAGTCTCAGCCGGAGAGCCTAATCAAAAGGCATTTTATTCACTGGTATTCGTGGTCTTCTTATCATTATAAAAGTTGACGGTCCTAATTACTTTTTATGGTCTACCACTGTTAAACAGAGGTTTGTGGGACAAGGTAATGAGGAGCATCTATCTAGGTCAAGTGATAAGGCTGAAAAAGCCCTAATTATTTTTAATGTTCTGTCTCATATAATTTCCCTTCCTCTTAAAGTCAATTTTTGTATAGAAAGATGGTTTCTACTTTTCCCTGAATTATTTAAACGGCGCTTGTGGGTAGAGACGTAGTGTTATATTCAACAGATGTTGGCAAGTTACAACATTGCTTGATTACTTTGAGCCTTATCAGAGTCAGACCAGAACATAGTTCAGATATCAGAATAACAAGAATCAAGCACTATATAGCTTAGCTGACTTCAACTCCATTTAAATTATAGAAATTAGAAAATCCTATTTGTTAAAAAAAAAAAACTACCTCTGTCTTTAAATAAAGGCACGCCCTTAAATAAAGAACCAGCAACGAACAATCTTAAGCAATCAAAACTAACATTGAAAGTAAACAAACAAATCACATGGTATGAGACCTAGCTCAGTGCAAAGTCTTTCAAGCTTTTTATCAAACACGTTGTGTGCAGTGGAAGGAGTACCGAACAACATGCCACAGCCTCAGCCTCAGTTATCAATTTACCACTTGAAGTTTATATTTAAATTAATAATGTGCCGCGTGCAACAATAATAGTTGTGAGTTTATCACACATTTTTCGAACGGGATCTTATTTATCAAAGCACGAACACAATTATAGGGAGCTTAGTGAGGCTGTAGGGTATCAGAAGAAAGAAAGAGAAATCGGAGTGAAATATGAAATGGATAGAGCAATTGAGAGGGTAGAGAAAATACCTGAATCGTTATTGGGTTGTGGAGTACTCAACAGATTGAAGAAAAATTGGAACCTGTGTTGTTCGCTATTCACTGATATAAAACATGCAAAGAAAGAAAGCTTCGAAATGCTGCTCGTTGCTTTTCCTCACTCCGCTGCGTCTTGAACCCCAAAATATTTTACAAGAGTCCGGCGGAGTAACATGTTTTTTTTTTTTTTTAAGGTTTAAGAAATTTATAATAATATCTTTTTATCGAAAAAAATTATTTATTATATTTTTATCATTTTAATATAACAAATATTTTGTAATAAAAAATATATTATTTTTACATATTTAAATTCAGTCTTAAAATTTGAAGTTAATAAATTTCTATTTTTAATTAAGATTGAAGTTCCAATGACTCATGAAAAAAATGTTAAAAAAATATCACTATATAACACTGAAATTTTACTCAATATTTTATTTAGTATAATATATTATTTAGCATTTATTTTTATTTTTTCAAACTATTAATTATTTTATTTTTTATTTTTTTCTCAATTTTTTTATATTTTACTGTTTCTTTTCTATTTATATTGATTTTTTTCATTTTGACATTTTAGTTACTTATATTCAAATCAATTAGTTTCAAACTTGTTTAAAGATTTGCTCTTTATAAAGTGTTTTTCACTTAGATTTAAGTTACTTATTTTTTTTTAATTATTTACCAAATTAACTGTGTATATTTTTTAAATATTTTTTGTTTAGTTAATTATTAATTAAAACAATATATTGAACAAATAGATATTTGCTAATACATGTAAGGTTTAAATACTATTTTGATGCCTATATAAAATCTATCTTTTTATTTGGTATTTATTATAAAAAAAATTAAATAAATTATTAAATAAAAAATCTTTTAAAATCTTTTTTATTTTTATTATTTGTTTGATAATATTATTCGTAATTAAACATTTTTATTTTTATTTTTATATGTATCACATTTTTTCATTATAGTCATTACACATTTTGATCTTTATTGTTTAAAATAGATTATATAATCTATCATAAATTATTATAATATTTTATAATTTGTATTTTGTGATAAAAATTGTTTAAATTTATATACAAATTTTTTTATTTTAGTCCATTTATGAGACATATTTTTCTTTTAATTTTGATCTCTAAATTGAATTGTTTTTGTCTAAGGACTATAATAAAAATTACATTATATATGACAACTACGATAACAAAAATATTATGTACATGAATTATAATAAAATATATATAAATATAACATGATAATTTTGTAATAAAAAATAATATAAAAACCTATTTTAAAAATATTATTTCATTCAGAGACATATACAAACTTTCTGTGTATAAAACCTAAATAAAAAAATAAAGTTGGTATAAAAATCAAAATAGCATTCAAACCAAAAATATATTTAACCTTATGAGAAGCACATAAAGATTATATTCCAGCATATTTTGAACTCTCTTTTCTTATTCGCAGTGCAAATGTGCAATTACAAGAAGCGGCAATTGCAATGTGATACGTTTTCTTCATTTCGTTTGTACACATGCCAATTCAAAAATGCTTCATACCTGCACTTGCTTGTTTTTCGTACTTTGTAAACTTCATTCTCGTATTTTCCTTTCTCTGCTACAACAGAAAATGTGTCCAAGTCAGTGGATGACGATTTTACCCTTCTTTCTTCTTTTTCTCTTCACCGTTGGATTGAGTTTGACGCCAAATGCAGGGGCAGTGAGGCAGATTCAGATGCGGGCAGGTGCACCATTCAAGATGGCTATGTTTGCGGACTTGCATTTTGGGGAGGCTGAGTCCATGGACTGGTGCCCACTCCAAGATGTAAACTCCACTAGGGTCATCAACACAGTGCTCAACCATGAAATCCCAGGCATGTTCATCAACCTCCCTCTCTTTTATTCTTTTTATGTTTACTTCTTCATTAGAAAAAGGAAATTATTTTCTGATCTTTAAAACGCAAAATTAATAAATGTAATATATGATATGATGTATTTAGAAGAGAGAGAATGCTAAATGATGTTAACTTCAATTTTTAAATCTGAGTAAAGTTTAACAAAACCAATAAATAAAATTAAAAAATAGTGAGATAGATTATCGTGGTGATTGATCCAATAAGTTAAGAGAGAGAGTGCAGGCAACGTCTTCTTGAAGTTTGCCCTTTCAAATAGTAATTTTAAAAAATTTAAAGTACAAGGACATTAATATGATTTTTAAATAACACAAATAAATACTATCAATTTTAATAATTTTTTGTGAAAAAATATATTATAAAAGAATTTAACAAATTTATATTACTTTTTATTATAAACAAGCTAAATATTTAAATTTAATCTTTAAAATTATTAATCAAATTAATCTCAAACTTTAATTTGTGTCGAATAAGTTAAATATTTTTTTTTAATTCACAGGATAAATTTAAACTTTAAATACACCACTGGTTCATTTATACCTCCAGGTGATGCAAAGAAACCTTAAACTTCACCATTTTAAAGGATAATATTTCTTGATTCTACTTTCCATTATCTCCCATCGAAGATAACGAGGAATATGCCAACCTAAATTTTAAAATATTAACGTGATTTTCTAATAATTTATGGAATATACTGTGGGATCTTCTCGAATGTTGTTGTTGTTTTATGTGACACTGACACCAGAGCTATAATCCATTGCATAATTATTTTGAGTAAAACTTTTTTCTGTATTTATTTCTTTATTCACAAAAATTAATTTTAAAATTTATTTAAAAGACAAAATTATTTATTTTGTATTATTAAAATTCTTTAATAATGTTCTAATTATATAGATTTTCAATTACAATAAAATTATATATTTTTTACGAACCATCAATACAGTTCAAATTACAATAATTAAGAAAATAATTATTGTAAGGTACATATTACGTAAAACTCACTTTTACGGATATAACAATTCACATGATTGTTATTACCGTCAAATTATCTTACTCTCATAAGTATTTTTATAAGATATTTTAAATTAAACTATACATATTAATAAAATAATTTTCATTTTTAAAAAATATCATAACATTATTTTTTTTTAATACCATTAAATAATCCACATTTAAATTATTAATTTTAACTTAAGTCTGAGATTCTTAGAAAAATAAACAAATGGAGTACAAAATTAGGGAAGGGAGAAAATTGCTACGGTGATGCTGACAAGAAAGTAAATGAATTCAACTCACGAACGGCGAAACCAATCAACGAGCAAGGGTGTTTCCGTCACTTCAACATTGGCACCAACAAAATTCCTCACGACGATACCATAATAATGCAGTGGGTGCTATGCACTATGGTGATCAGTGCTCACCCTCTTTCTTTCTAATCAATTCCTCAAACTCAGTGGTTTTGTTGAGTTTTTCGTCCTCCCGCAAATGGAAATGTACACAAGGCAGTGGAAGACGTTATTACCCCTACTGTTTCTCTCTGCGTTCTCCACCGTCGGATCATCGTCCCATCTTGGACGATCTGCCATACGATTCAGATTGGCGCGAGATGCGGCGGAGAGGCAGATTCCGACGCGGGCAGGTGCACCGTTCAAGATTGCGCTGTTGGCGGACCTGCATTTTGGAGAGAACGCGTGGTCGGATTGGGGCCCCCTACAAGATGTAAACTCTGTTAAGGTGATGAATACGGTGCTCCACCATGAAAACCCAGGTTTGTACGTAGCGTCGTTAAATTAGTTATTAGCTTTCTGTAATGCTTAAGCAAAGCCCTAACTATATCCTAATGCCTGTTATTATATTAATAGAGAAAAGTGCAGCCCCCTTATTTTAAGGATAAACTTCTGTCTTAATGTCAGGTAAACTTCAACAGAAGCAGTAATAGTATAAAAAATAATAATTTTTTCTTATAAATTAAAATTAATTTATTACTTTTAATATATTGATTTTTTTTTTCTTATAAATACTCTTCTAAAAATTTGTCAAAACTGGACCAAAGTAAACTTACAGCACTGAGATTTAATTAAATTTTATTTCATATTACTCTTTTTTTAAATTTCTCCTGATTTATAAAATACAAAAATATGCAATATTATTTTATTGCATAAATTAAGAAAAAATTATGTAAAGTGAAAAAAAAAAAAGAGAAATATCTGATAAAAATTTATTAAATTTTAAGGAATGAGAATGTAGGTTACCTTATTTTTTATTATACTATAAATTTTATACGACTCTTATCTTACTTGGCAGTGGCAGCAATTTAAGTGAAGTTTATTCAATAATAAATAGAGAGGAATATAAAAACACATACAAGAGGGTAAATTAAATAAATCTTAAAATAATATTTTTATCTCTATAATTGACTCTTATCGATTAATTAATCTTTATATGTAACAAATTTGTAAATCAATTCTTGTAATATATTAGTCTCTATATTTAAACTAAATGAGCGTTGAATAAACTTTTTACGTGACTAATGCTAAAAAAAAATAAATGAAAGATGAATTGAGTCAATGAATCTAAGAAATAGCAAGAAATTTTTATCCCTTTCAATATCTCTCTCAATTCGAAAATTTAGGATTTGAATTCATGTACTTTTTCCATCATCCTCTTAAATTGCATTATTGAGATTGTTGAGAGGTCGATAATAAAGGTAAGTTGAAGTCTTTCACGGGGCTAGTTGTCAGTGTTCATTTTCCTTTTCAATTTCCATTTTAAGCGCTTACATTGTCTCCACTAGTGCCAGTTTATGTTGAAAGATGAACGACCAAAAACTATATGAAGGTTTTTTAATGAATGTATTATGAAACTCTGCAGATCTTCTTCATGAAAAACTCGTTTTATTTAGATTTAGAAAATCGTATAGCTATATGAAATCATGTGCTATTGCACTAATCTGTTATCATACCTATTTCTAATAGAAGTAGTTGACAATTGAATCCTTTTCTTCTTCTTTTTTCTCATAATTTGAGTATCCATAGTAGTGTGAAAAGAAAAGAATTAGTCAATTTAAATTTACGTTTATTTAATGAATTATTTGTTTTTTTCCCTTAAATGATCTTTAGGCTTATAATTTATGTTGAAGTTAAGATATCCTGTATTGATATAGAATAAAACCAAAGTGCTCTTTATAAGACTTGGTAATCCTCACCTTTAGCTAACTTTTGGATTGAGTTATACTCACTTTAGTTCTAATAATTTATTTTGTTCCTATGGTAATAAACAATCTGGTGATGGATTCAGTCTGAATGTTGGAGCAATATGACACACAAGAAAATGAAAAGGATAAACACTAGGAAGAAACTTTCTAACACTATCTTTTTAACAAATTTAGTTATGGGCTAAAATTTATTGAAAACTACAAAAGTATAAGAAAGAATAATTAAATTAGAAGTGAAAAAGCGTGAAATCTACATAATTTTTTTTGTTTTTAATAAATTTTAATCTATAACTAAGAGTGTGTTGCTAACAATTTTCAATAAGAAATTAGTGCATGTGATCAGAGTTAGTTACATAAATAACAAATCAGAAACTATAAGCATACATCAAGATAATTTTCCTTTTAATAACAGAAGGGATGAATGAGAAATGTTCACAAGATATAAAAATTTCAACAAATTTCAATGACTTTATATGTGATTCACTCTTTATATACAGTACTTCATGTTTATACTTATGTAATACAAAAACGTCATGATCATTAAATTTCATGAATACCAAATACTAATGAGGTACTGTATGACAGATTTTGTAATATATCTTGGTGATGTCATTACGGCTAACAATATAATGATTGCAAATGCAAGCTTGTATTGGGATCTGGCAACCTCTCCAGCAAGAAATAGGGGCATACCTTGGACTAGTGTATTTGGAAACCATGATGATGCTGCATTCGAGTGGCCACTGCAGTGGTTCTCTTCACCTGGAATTCCTCAAATTCACTGCCCTCAAACCGGAAGTTCATATTCAGGTACTAAACTACCAAGTAATATAGTAATAGATGAAGATATTATAATTGTTATGATTACATATACGTTCGGTGTAGAGCACAAAATTTAGTCGGAGAATTGAAGATACCAGATCTTTGATGTATTCCTAGCAGCAGGTTGTCAGTTATCTACTGGATAGTGAAGGTTTCTTTGAATATTTATATGAATAGCTTGTTTGAAACTAATAATTATGTTTCATTGTTCTTGGACCAACTATATATCAACTTCCCTTGTTTTTGGGTGTTCTTATCTCCATCAAACAGCAAGCATAGATGACGTAAGGAAGATTAATATCCTTTGTAATGTCCCTGCAAATAAGAGAGAGAGAGAGAGAGAAGCAAAGCCTATGTACATATTACTGACTAGGTAGCTAGCGATATATGGATTACCAAACTAAAATGAGATTAATTTCTAGTCAATTGTGAAATCTCTACACAGAGTTATCTATGACTCCCTAGTCCTTGGACAATTAGAGGTAGTTTAACTTGGGAAATAAAGTTGGAAGAGATTCATGAAGAAGCATGCGGCAAACCACACGAACCTTTGTTCATTAGTTAGAAAACTTATTCAGTTAAATAAATAGCATTTAATTGCTATTAGTTACTGTTCCTATTTTGTAAAATAGAGACATATTTTATTTCACGTTTATTGTTGTATTATTGTCCTTTAAAATGGCACTTTTATCTAGCAATTTTGCTGACTATATTTTTCGCTTCAGTGTCCACTATTTGTAGTTCTAGAATAATTGGTGCTTCAAAATCTCTCTCACTGTTCTCATAAGACAGTGTTTGAAATATCTTCAGTGCATATTTGATAAATTTCAGTAGAAGAAGAATGTAGCTTCAAAGGAACAGGACGATTGGGTTTGATGGAAAACGAGATCAAGCACAATTTGTCATTTTCCAGTTATGGTCCTAGAAATCTTTGGCCAAGTGTATCAAATTATGTCCTTGAGGTTTCATCGCCGGATGAACCACAATCACCAGTTGCTTTCCTTTACTTCCTTGATTCTGGCGGTGGTTCCTATCCAGAAGTCATATCTAGTGGCCAGGCGGAATGGTTTCTGCAGAAAGCTCAAGAAATTAACACTGACTCAAGGTAGAATGAGAATGCATAAAATCAGAAGCTATTTTTCCTTAAATCTAAATGCATCCCATATAGCAAGGAATTATGGGTATATAAACAACCTTGTTGATTTCTTATGTGTTGTAAATTAAGCAACTAAAATATGTTTCAAAGGAAAATATAGTATATTCTTATTTTTCTCCCCTCCTTTCTGCATAATCCAAACAAACGTATTGCATGACAGGGTTCCGGAGATTATTTTCTGGCATATTCCAAGTACGGCCTATAAGGTGGTGGCTCCCAAACCGAAGTCTGGCATACAAATGCCTTGCGTAGGTTCAATCAACAAGGAAAGTGTAGCTGCTCAAGAAGCTGAAACGGGTATTATGGATCTTCTTGTCAACAGAACTTCTGTTAAGGTGAGGTCAAAACCAGCATGCTATATTTGTCCAATACTTGAGAACCTGCAATGCAAAAATTAAATCCACAAGGACACAATTGTAAGGTTTTGAACCACCACATATGTTTAGTTGATGAGTAAGTTGTTGACTTCCATGGTTGCAAGGATACTGTGTCAAAAAATCTTTTGGGGTAGAAATATGTTTATTGGGAAATTATTAGAAGAATGAGAAATTTTCAAAAGAATTTATGATAGTATTCTATTAGTGGGTTAGATTAGACCCTTATAATGTAGTTAGAGATTTAGGAATAATGATGACATGATGAGTTTGTACCCAGACATTTAACCTGTGGTCTATAATGATATTATCAATGGATTCCTTCCACCCATGGATATAGATATAGCCAATTGTCAAACAATATAAAGCTTTATGTTCCTTTTGTTTGATTATTGATTTTACTCTGCGGCAGGTTTATTTTTAAAGATGAGATAGGGTGGAAACAAGTTAGATTTAGCAATTAACCTGAATGCATAGGTGCCCATCATAAGTGTATTGCATAACTAAAAGTAGTAGAGATGAATGCTACTTTGGTTTTTAATGTAAAAGTAGTTTTAGTTGTGAAAAAATGCCTAGTTTCATGTCTCTGCGTAATCTGCGGTTGTGGCAATTAAGCGTTGGAATGTGGTAGCGAGAGCTTGAGCACATAAAAGCTAGAGATGTATGCATGTAACCTTTATATTTTTATAAGTTAATTAAAAATATGCATAGATCAGTAAAAAGTTTTGTCCATCAAATGGATAAAACTCGTGGAAACATTTAACGTTTACTAGCATTTCCCTCAAGATTTTTATTGTAACTTTTGGTTATTGGTTGTTTGATTAGTATGTCTATATTCCAAGCGTTCAAATAATGAGAATACTGGGCATACGGTGACTGTATTTTTCTTCATTATATAGGGCCCTACAAAGTAGAAAGCAATTAAACGAGTACTTTTTTGAGGCATTAAATATTAGGTTTGGAGTTGTATTTTAGTTTCTACTTTCAGCTCACCATGGAAATTGAGTTCTCACTATGTTTGTAGATGGAAACAGCTGAATTTTATGGAGACACGTCACGCATTGTATTTCTGTTAAATGACTTTAATTTTACTATATTTTGGACGTGAATATTCATCAATAAGATTGCTAGCTTTACCTGGTTGGTTTGTCAAGAATATATTACAATATTTGTTGTTTCATTTGATCATCCATTAAATACGAGAAACTACACTTGATTTCTTAATTTTCATATGTTTAGTCTCCCAAGTGTTCATTTGTTAGGGAATTTGATTCTTAGCAGCAGAAAGAGTGGGTGCATCTAACATGCATGGGTAATTAGGACTTGCGGTTGAGGTTTAGATACAATATGGTGAGCCATACCGACATATAGAAAGAGGATTACGCTTTGGAATTTGAAGGAAAAAGTTTCAATTTTCATCCCATCTTCTCCCCCATATTTCTCACTTATTGCATGCATGTTGTAAAAGCAACAAAATGTCAAAGCAAAAAGTTTGGTTTTTCTTGTTTTTTCTCCCCTTTCTATGGGTTGAGATTTTTATTTTTTATCACCTGAGTACCCAGAAAAATCATCTTCAAGTTCATCAAATGGGATTTCTAAAAATTGAATATTGAATGATACAATGGACTTTGTTTGATGGAAATGCAAATGGGACCATGTTGAGTTGTTTTTCTTTTCACACCACAGGCAATATTTGTTGGACACAATCATGGATTGGATTGGTGCTGCCCATACAAGAAACTATGGTTATGCTATGCTAGACACACTGGCTATGGTGGCTATGGAGATTGGCCTAGAGGAGCACGGATTTTAGAGATCACTCAGAAACCCTTTTCTCTTCGATCTTGGATAAGGATGGAGGATGGCCAAGTGCACAGTGATGTTGTCTTGAGTTGAAAATAATTTCCTCTAAAGCCTAAACAAGAGAAAATACATACGGAAAGTATAGTTGTTACATGATTGTTTAGTTTCAGAAAAAAAAATTTAATTATGAAAATGTCACATTATTTTTATTTTATTTTATTTTATATTTTTGAAAATTTGCATAAGAAATAGTGAAAATAATTCTTTAATTATTTTTTCTATTTTTATATAAATTTTTAAAAATAGAAAATGAAATAAAAATAAAACTTTTTCTATAATCAAACCCTCTTAATTTTCTAAATTTATTCTCTGTAATTATAAAGTGTAGCGTATGTAATAAAGGTGCTCAAGATATGCTCATTGTCAATTATTGCATTCATTTGGGGAATTCTATTCCTGAGCTTAGAATCTCACTTGCGTCCCAAAAATTAAATGAACCAGCTGATGCATTAGTTCTTTAGCCTTTTCTTTTAATAATTCATTATGGTTTGGACATGTCCCAAACGATATCTAGCATCACTGTAATTTGGATTTAGCTGTTACCTAATGAATTTCTGTTCCTGGTTCTGCCTCCAAAATTAATTTTAGAAAGTCCAGGAAACAATCATTTAATTTTAGTTCTAACTATAAATTCATTCATACAATTCTTAATAAAAATTGTATTTAAATAATATTTATTGAATTTAATTTTTATGTATTTCATTAATAATACTAAAATTTTATTTATATGCATAATGTTAATTTAAGGTGAGTCCAAATCTTGCAAGTTTTTAAAAAATGAATACTAATTTTTAATTTCACTGACAATAGAATTGAAATTTATTTATAAAAAAAACATCAAATTTTTTATATATAAATACTCAGAACTTTCAAATTGAGATTTTCCTTATAGTTCGACTATTTTTATTTTTATTTTATTTTGAAAATTTTATTCTATTTCAGCAAGGAAAATTTCTTCATTTCATCTTCTAATAAGAAAATATTTATAAATGTGGTATTCTCCTTAGCTTTTGCATTAAATTGAGAATTTTAAATTTCCTTCCAAACTTGTTTGTGAGATAAAAGTTTCTCAACAATCTCATTTTTCCAGCTCAGTTTTTACTAAAATCAATTTTATAATCAAAATTAATTCTGTAAATGTTCATTTAAACACAATAATAAAATTAGACTATGAACTCTATTTCAACAAGGAATAGTTAAGAAACAAAATTTAAAACTCATTCATCAAAATTATCAAATATATTGTAAGTATAACAAAAATATTATGATATATTCTCCAATATTATTCCTTTTCTTTGTTCTTTTTGAATTTCACTTCTTGTTTTACAATTGTTCTTTATCAAAACTAGGCTGGATTTATAACAACGTGTGACTCCTAAGAGCTAGGGAAGTTGCTAGAACGTATGGCTATCGATTTTAATAGTATTATTCAACATACTTAAGTTGTCATTTTTCTTTTGACTGAAGATTATGATTGGTTGACCCCTACACTTTGATCTATTTTATGCATACTCTCATTATGAGAGCTGAAGCAAAGTTCCTTACCATGATCTATACTGATATCAGGCCTAAGAGAATAATGCAAAAAGAAGTGTTTTATTAAACTAAGACCAGTATAAAATGCATGATGGCCAAATGATCTTTAGTTAGCTGAGAATATAATTTAGAGAGTTCAATGAACTTTACTATATAATAATACTCTAAAATAAGTTGCATAAGTTATTAGATATTATTGTTATTATGGAATGACATAATTCATGAACTTTAACTATGAATGAAGCCATTGCATTAATGAGGGATTGCTTTTAAAAAAAATTATGGTTCAATTGACATGTTTGCTATGTCCCAGTACAAAGAAACGCACAACTCAGCAGGTAACACAGATAAAGCAAAGGATGCAAGACTTTTCTTATGATGATTACCTTGTTGGGACATTGAAACAACACCAAAGTCACTTTTTCTCATTTTGTTAGACAACTCGTTGAAAAGAAAAAGGTTTTCATTAGAATTTTTTGCATTCATGACTTTTATTTGAGGGTACCAAACAGCTCTAAAGTCTCCTTATTAGCACCCCATGCTCATGGACCACTCTGGTTAGGCTTTTAAATTTCCAATACTGAAGTCAAAAACGTGCTCACATCAAGTACCATAGAGAAGATTGGGACCAAATTTATATATAAAAACACAATTTTATTAATCTCGATACTTAAAGTTGAGTTTAAAATTTAATAACAGTAAATTTTTATTAACAAATAAAATTGTTACTATGCTTTTATTTTACCAATATAATCAACATTTTCTTTATAAAATCTTTCTACAGTTAAATACTACCCTCTATCCTATTTTCAAAAACAACTGTCAAAATTTGTTAGTCCTAATTATAAAAAAAATAAAACTTATTTTTAAATATATTAATTACTAAATTTCTTTTCTTAATTTATTACATGCAAGCCACTAACGTAATAATTTATTTATAGATATTTTTTAAATAATATTAATATTATAGTATATAATAACAGCAATTAACAAAATGAATGAAAAAAATGTCTTAAAATATTTTGAAAAGTCAAAACATGAAGTATAGCCATAACCAAATTCACTGTTTCTATGTTAAATCGATGCATTCCATGGTGGTTCGGATATGACGATAATTGATGTGCCAACTCTATGGCTAGCATTGCATGAATAGGTGAATTCGTCATTGTCTTTGATTTTGATAGGACACTGTCACGTGCCATTATTATTTCTAAAAATTTCACTTGAAAGTAAATTTTAACCCTTTTCACAACTTAATGCAAATGGATAATGCCCCCTCAGCCGAAAGCATGAGTTATGATATCAAAGCCTATGATTGAAAATAGAAAGCTTACAAAGAAACTCCAAATAGTACACTCCACACACAATTCTGACTGTCAGAGCTACCTCATTATGCATCATCTGAATTAAATGAATCCATAACGAGTAAACCTTCAAGTTATTCTTTGAGATTGCACAAGTATTACCCTAATTTAGTCAAAATTTTTAAAAATGATTATTAGTTCGTACTCTATAAAATGATATTTATTCAAACTTTTTTAGTATAAAATAAAAATAAATTATCTTTTATAAACTCAGGACTAACAAACGTTTTAAAATATTAAAAATTAAAACTAAAATGCGTGACTTATCATCTTAAAAATTTAATCAAGTGATAATATTGTACGCAGAAATTTTAATGTTTGAGTTACCAAAAAATGAATTTAATATTTACGAATAGAGTGAGAATTTTAAATTACAATTAAATAATTACAAAAAACGATAAAGATGACACTTTATAAAACACAGATGCCATGTTTTTATATTTAATAACGGAAACTCCCATTTGCCCTAAGACCACAAATTAAAAGAAACATTTGTTTAACTGAAGAAAAGAGGGGGCAGAAAACATCCTTTTTTTCAATGTTGCCATATCTCTACGAAAGTATCTATGTTTTCATGCTTGATTTGGTTGTGTTGTGACCACCATAATTTTCTTTATGTAACAAAAAAAATCCTTTTCATTAAAAAATGTTTGAGGGTGAGGATTATCCATTTTTAGTTCAATTAATACTAATTCAAATCTTTATAAATTTGAGCTTTATTTTTTTTTTCAAAGCACCTTATATTTATAACTACTTTAAACCTTAAGTAATTTGAGTCAAAATGGATAAAGTTAAGAAATAAAACTCTTCAAATGTTTATTTTTTACCAGATTATTTTTTGTCTTTCCCTGCCTGCATAGATAACAATCATGATGAGTTATTGTTGAATTCAAATATTAGGTCACAATCTGCTTTCAATTACTTAAATATTCTACAAATTACATAATTTAGTACTTGTAAACTCAAGAGACTATTGTATATTTTTTTAAAATTGATAGTTGTGATTTTTTAATATCTTAAAAATGTTTATTTTTTCAAAATAAATCACTAATCCCATCATATATTCATTTAAAATTAATTGTAATAATGGTATCACGTGTGATAATGTCTTCTTAATTTACAAGATACAATAAAAATTATTAAATAATTTTAGTCTAATGAATTATAGCCTTAAAGATATTAGTTAAAAAAATAAGGCACAAATATTTTTTATTTACATTACAGTGTATTAAAAGTCACAATGAGAGTATTAATAACACCTTTTACAAAATTTATGATTGTTTATTTTTTTTCTAAGGATAATTGTTAGCATCTACTTTTAAAATAAAAAACAGGTTTATATTAATGAAAGACTGGCCAACTTAAAGGGTATAGCATGTTATAAGTTTCCCAATTGTCCATTACTTTATAGAGATGCTTTGTGATAAAGTAACATTATAAATAATACTTTATTATTTATTTAACAATTCAAATTGTCCCATTTCATTTTCAGTTGTAACTGACAGAGCCAGTTCCCCTGCCCCTTCCGGAGGGAAAGGAAGGTAGAAAATCAAATGGTGATTTTAGTAAGTTTGACAAAAAAACAAAACATTTGAAATGGACCATAGCAGTTGATAAAATTGACAGTTGAAGAGAAGAGGGACAAGAGAGACCCCATTATTTTGAATGGAGTTTGCCTTTTGAGTAACCATAAGTCATCTTAGGAGACTAACTCCATTGGCCACATCATTACAAGAGTCATAGTTATGGCTTTCCCAATGTAGACCCCTATCACTTTATGACCATATATTATACATTATGCCTAGTGTCAATATAAAGCAACAAATTTTGATGACACACCCAAAGGACAAGGTATCCCACTTGGGAAATCATCAACATTGTTAAAAGTTTGCAACATCAAAAGGGTGTATGGATGTCAGTGGGATTTCATCTGCTTACAATCACTGTTCTCTCTGCTTTGGATAACTTCATCATTTTGTTTCTTCATCTCCATGCAACATAAATCACTGGGTGTCACATGCTTTATGAAAAGGTTAGTTTCTTGAAGTGGAACTTTTAGTACTGATGTATGACCAAGCTAGAAACATATTCTTGGGGTACCCTTTGTGTGTGTGTATGTGTGGTGTTTGTTTACTTTTTGTTTATTTATTTTAATTTAAAACATATCTACTGTTCATGTAAAATTTCAGTCCTATAGAGCAAATAAATGTAGTTACTGAAAATAAAAGTTTTTGTCGGTCCTATTGGTATAAGTTTCTTTCATGTTGGAAAATGAACAGAACAGCTAAGTGAGCAATTAAAGTAGAATGAAGATGATTGGAGCATCTTAATTATATATTAGGAATTATGAAATCATGTGCATTAAACTCTCTGAATTTAACTCTAGTCTTTCTTCAAGATCAAGTGTAGAATGTGCTTGAGGAAGAGAGATGTTGTGTGAAGAATTTGGTTTGAATGATGACATAAATCTTCATGGCAAAGAGAAAGAGCTGGTTTGGATGGGTGAAAAGGCTATTCACTTCTGAGTCAAAGGACAAAGTAAGAGGTGTTTAAGAATGCATGAAGCATGCTTTTTATATGTCACAACAATAAAGTAGTACTCATATTGGTTAACATTTCCTTTGTGTAATCTCAGAAGACAAAGAAATGGGAGTGGAGTTTTGGAAGGATTAAACAAAAACAATATCCAACAATTACAGCTCCAAATAGGACATTGGTTGAAGCAAATGCTGAGCAGAGAAAGCATGCTTTGACTGTGGCTATTGCAACAGCAGCTGCTGCTGAGGCTGCAGTTGCTGCTGCACATGCTGCTGCTGAGGTTGTCAAGCTCACTGGTGCTTCTCGTTCTTACTCATTTCTTTCCAAAGGAGATAGAAGCTTAGCTGCCATCAAGATCCAAAGCGCATACCGTGCACATCTTGTGAGCTTCCTCAAAACCTTGTTCTTCATCTTCTGTATTAATCACTCAATTGCTACTATGTTTCAGTTTGTAGTTTGCAAGAGATTTACATGGACAAAATACCATGTATTAGGATACTGATATGACAATATATATTAACTAAAATAGACTTATATTTATGTATGCAAATTGAATATTTTATGATAACCTTGATCAAATCTTAGTCAAATAAAAATTTTAAAAGAAAAAAATTCCTAAAAATAAGAAAATATTTCAATAAATTTTATAAAATATTAAAATTATTACTAATAATTAAATATCAGCAGATACGCCTAAGATACGAATGTAGACGTATTGCATGCGAATTGGTATCCAACATGAATATAACCTGCATACGCAGTAATTAAGAGTGAAGTCACTCCTACCTTTTGCTTATGTATACTTTGTAGCAAAGTCTAGTGAACATTGGTTTTAGAACTTTTGAAATACTCAATAAATAATCCAGTTAAATCATATAAAAAGATATTGTAATGATGCTTTTTAATTGATATTAGTTTACTTTTTGTTTTTATACTGAGAAATTGTGTGGTGAGTTTGAGTTTTTTTCCTTCCATCAATTTAATTCTATATTCTGAAATTCATTCACTCGAAGCAAACTAATCCAAATGGACTCAAAAGTGTTAATTACTTAAACACTTCTACACTCATTTGAACTTGATCTCTAAACTGGGAATGAAACAGGCTAGGAAAGCATTAAGAGCATTGAAAGGAGTTATAAGATTGCAAGCCATAATTCGCGGTCAAGCTGTGAGGCGTCAAGTGTCTGTTTCTTTGAAAAATATTCACTACAGTGCAAGAAATCAGGTAGAAATTCAGGAAGGAAGCAGCAATGGCGTGGATGGAAACTACAAAAATGACCAGATCAAGAATTTTTCAAAGCAAAAGAAAAAGTTAGAAGAGAAGGAAATAAGGGTAAGCATGTAACATTTATGTAATTAGACGAGGAAGTGTGGAAAACACAACCCAAAAGAATGAGAACATGGGTGAAAAATTTATGAAACAGTGATTTCCCCATTCCATTTGCCAAACTTCAGGATGTCCACCCAATTTATTTGACTTGGTCCCATATGTTTAGTTCAGTAGTTTTGACTTTTGATATCATAAGCATTTATTGTCATAGTAATTGAGTTTGAACAACTAATTCCCTTGTCTAATCCAATTAAGAATTTTGTTGCAGTCTGAATGTCATAGTCAAAGAAATTGGGATTGTAGCTTGCTCTCGAGAGAGGACATTGAAGCCATATGGTTAAGAAAGCAAGAGGCCATTGTCAAAAGAGAGCGCATGAAGCAGTACTCTTCTTCACAAAGGGTATTCTCATTTGATTTGACATTATAACTCACCATTTTTAATCATAAATTAATTGAGAGAGAGAGAGAGAGAGAGAGAGAAACAAATCAAAGATTAAAAAGAAGTCAAATTGTTTGAAAAATTAATACCCCTTTTCAAACATTGGAACTAACCACTAACATAGTATTATTTTTCCTTAATTGCCTTGTATTATTTTCTTATTTTTCTTGAACAGTATTATCATGTCATGCATCTAATAATAGCCATGTATTTATCTTTTCTAGGAGAGAAAAAATCCTCAAATGGTGGAAGAATCTCTGCACAATAAGGACTTCGGAAGAGAGAGCTGCCGTACACTTGGAGAGTGGCTACATAAAGAAACATACAATTGGGATGTGCTTTACAAACAAACACTCCCTTCAAACTTGATCACAATGAAAAGAGAATTGCAAGAAGATGGATTGAGTTCACAAATTTCGATCCCGCGGAAATCATTTTCTCTAGTGAAAAGAACTTCAATTGGTGATGAGAGTTCGATGCCAAATTCTCCAGTTTTTCCTACTTTCATGGCTGTAACTGAATCCAGCAAAGCAAAGGTGAGATCTATGAGCACACCAAGGCAAAGAACAGCATTTATGGATAATCAAAATGAGCCTCACAAGGAGAGCATTTCCTTGTGCTCTTATTATGGTGCTACTACTAGCACCAATGAAAGATGCCAAAGTGCAAATAGCCTTTATTATCATTAGAGGATGTAAAATTTGGTTCATTGCGTGAATTAATCAGTAGGATGTTTGGCCCTTCCCATTTTGCAAATACTCACATGCATACGTGAAGTGCTTTTTGTCTAACCATTATGTTTTCTCTGAAGAAATTTTTCTTCCTGGTTTTGGAGATGAGAAACGTGATTATTTGGTACATAATACATATCCAAAGTACATACATCTTTTATTCTATCTTTTCCTGTAGTATTCCTTATTTATTTATCTGAGTTTTCTGTCACAGAAAATTTCAGGTGATGATCTGCTCAAATAATTACGGGTTGTAATTAAATTAAACTATTCATGCACTACAATAATTTATTTTGAAAATCTGAAAGCTAATCAATAGAATTTGACTACACTATCAAGGAAGCATCTCCACAACTACTACACATTTGCGGTCACTTTCACATTGCAATTCCTGACTATGCGGATTCGTATTTGAATCAATGAACTAAGGATTTAAGCAAACCAATAAGATTGAAATGAGTTTAGGCTTATTGACCATAAAAAGGAAAACTTATGGAAGGCATATAGGGAGAGATAGAGTCATGACCTTCTAACATTTCGTTTTTGGTTGTTACTTAATTGGCCATGAGTGAATGCTTCCCCCCTTTTGGACTATATATATATAGCATAAATAATAAGAAATTCTTAAAATTGTAAGCAAATCAGCTTCCTTGAGTGCTATGAAATGGTGCAAGTTTCAATTTGGATTTTGAACCTGCGTCCACAGCAAAAGGGGAGGGCTCCTCTGCCACAAACAGACAGATGAATTTAACCATTGGTAAACCATTAGACAGTATATCAATACCCCCATCTGATTCAATGATTGTCCAATTTTTAAAATATTGAATTACCTAAATCAATTATTATAAGCACTACCTGTGTAATTAAAATTGTCGGTTACAGTAGAAAAGTTCCGATTCTAGCAACATTATGTTCAACGAAATAAATCACTTGGCGTTAATTATTTATAATTAACTATGCTTTCTCATATTATTCTCGGTATCAAGAGTTCTCCCCAACACCACAAACCAGTTTCACATAATCGCACTAAATTTTTGCCAGTACCAATCATTTCAGTTGAACCAAATGTAAGCTCAGTTGAACCCATTATAGACTACGTGCTGTCGTTTCTCCACCTCCGTATTTCAAAATACAATTGGAACACACCGCATACAATGCTTATGCTACATCGCCGCGTGAATTGCTCCAGACATTAGCCAACCAATATATACATTTAGCACCCAACATAATCCATTTAAAGTTGATATAATTAATTTTGAACGTTAAATATTATTAAAATATAAATTCAAATGAATATCAATTATATATTTTACATTAGAACAAGTAATTGATTTTGTGGGTTAGTCAGACATTCAAGATGTAGCCGCAACGATTATTTGAAAATTCCAGAAAACATACTCCGTAGAAGTGCGACAAAAAAGTTCAGAATTTCACTTTTTTGCATAGCCAACGTTGAATACTAGTAGTAGTTGAAAAAGAAAGACAGATGGAAAAGGAAAAAACAAGATAATTTCTAAATAGAAGATGAAGGTCAAATATGCCAAGAGCTGCAATGCCCAATGATAAAGTTTGTGGCAAACATATTAAGGAAAATGGTTATCAATACTACTTGTCTGGATCAAACACTTAACATCAAAAGAACCTATTCCAAGAGGTATACAGCCCGTAAATCTGAATGTGATTTCTAAATCCCAGAAAACCAAAATCAAATGATGCATCCGAAAAGATAAAAATAAAATACTCTCATCGATTTATCTAGACGGTTATCGAGCTGCCTGAGCTTGTGCATGTTCCAGAAGTTGACTGACCAACTTGTAAGTACGCCCATTAAGGGCCTTGGTATGGTCTATCAGCTGCTCATGCCTGTGGATGTAGCAAATCAAAGATTAAGGGTCTTGAAAAAGGAAGGATGACACATAACATGAAGGAAAAAGGCGGTCAAACTAGCTAAGGCAGAATGTTACAATTCAATAGGAAGTACAAAGCCCTAATCTATCAAGTTAGTAATCTATGTTAAACTTACACATTTGGATGATTAGGTTCCATGATAACTGTTCCTGTTTGAGAATCAATCTTGGCATCAAGCTTCGAGCTACGGATGAGATTAACAATCCATCTCTCAGCCTCGTCATAATTCAAATTTAACTTCTCAGCAAGAACTCTGAAAAATATCAGAATTGAACAATTCCATCTTAGAAGATTCAATTACCACTAAATCCTCGGTATATCATTTAGTTGGGTTGTATGAAAGGTAGATCACAGGGAATCAACAAAAGGAACAAATACAAACAGAAAATATAGCATTACATAACAAAAACCCCGTAAAAATGGGAAATAAAGAGAAGAGTATCTGCAAAACCTTTCAAGGCCACAAAATAAAAATAAAAAAACAACTCTTATTGTGTGCCTTTGGTTTTGACAGACTGATCCAGATCAATGGCACAGAGGCTACAATATGTTTTTTTAGGGTGTTAAATTGTGGCATATCAAAAAAATTGGTGGAGCTACCACATCTTGTATTAGAAAGAAGGTGCATACCTCATGTCAATGCGCTGGTGTATTCTACAGTATGTCTCAAAGATAAATAGCCTAGCGTTTTCAAGGAACTCGTCCCTCAATGGCACAGCTGAAAAGTTGCTTTCTTCAACCCGTTTGCCAAGGAAAGGATCATTGAGAATGACCTGTATTATTGCAAATTGGTAAGTAAAGTAATCAACACATGAAGGGGTAGTTCGTAACTAACATGGACAAAAATGTTATGAGAAAAAGGAAAAACTGAATAAACTATATTAGTTCACTCCTCAACAGAAAAAAGCACACTTACTTCTTCGCATTCTCTCATCTTCTTTTGTGCTCCATCAAAGTCATAGTTGACATAAACACAAGCCAAAAACTCGGTGATGGGGTCCTTATATGAATGCTGCTCTTGTTGAATAACTTTTATAAAATCTTTGAATTGAGGTCTCCTGCGCTTGTTAACAATGAATGCTGTGGCCAAGTATCTTAAAAGGTGTGGAGCACTGGTTTGGATTGCATTTAGATACCTAAAATTTATACACGTCTTAGATGAAGCAATATCACAAATACGAAGCTCAGAATATGCAAGAAAAAAGTTATCTCAGAGTAAGGAAGTTATTGACCAGTTTGATGTTGGATGAATGATGACAATTAACAAGAAAGATAAGATATACAAAATATGATCCCACTACAGGTAAGCCAAGGTGACCAAGGAAAGTAGAGACAAGTCAACAAGTCTTACTTGTCTTGATTAAACAGATCAATTATCTGTGTTCTCCCATTGTCATGATTGAAAAAGATGAACAGACTCCAGTGCATCAACCATATTCGGCTTTGCACCTGATTCAAAGGAGATGCAAAATTCTGCAACAGAGTTCACTGCTAGTAGTTAGTCTATTAATATAATAAGCATAACAAACAAGTACATGCAGCTACTCCAAAGATCAACTGACAGACAAGAACAACCTTTGAGTCGATGCTTTCCTTCAAACGATTGAGCTCTTCAAGAGCAATGTCCCAGTTCTGCATCAATATTTCAGCTGCCAGCTTTCCCCACAATGCACTTAAACTCCTTTCACTATTTGTGCATAAGGTTCTGTACTGATAAAGATAGTCAGCAGCACCAGAGTAGTTTCCACACTCAAACTGAAATTTGGCATATTGGTACAAGGCCTCGATTTGTGCAGGACCAATCTGTCACAGCAGAATCATCATTTAAGTAGTCAGTAAGAACTAAAAATCTCAAATACAATTTAAACTTTTAAAACCTCTAAAATACAGCAGCAAACAACAACCAAATAGACAGAAAAAAAGCTTGCAATAAAAATGAAGAAATAAAGATGTAATAGGATTACTAGGATACTATCTAACTTAAAAGTGGGATTTTTTTAAGAACAAAGTGCAGTCTAATTGCCCCAAGATCCAAGTCAATAGTTTTAGATCCTTATTAGCAAGAGACATTTTCCTAAGCTTACTAGCATAATAACAGCACCTTGAACCTTTTAAGCAATTAGTATCTCCCACTCCTAGCTCTCACAACTGACCAATAACTGCCGAAGAACAAACTATATTTGGTTTGAGAAAAAGATTTCTATTTCCTTTCTCTGTTTTCACAACTAATCACACCTTGTTTTCATTTTATTTCCTGCTTTCTCAACTCAACCAGACCCTTAGGCGGCATCTAGTATTAGGAATGTTTTAACAGTCCCAGGAAAGTGACATGGGAAACTTCTATTCCTGTGTTTCATACAAAGAAAATATAAATATTTCCAGGTCATGGGAATTTTAACTTGTGAATAAGTGGAAACAACTTTCCCAACTTCATAGGTGGAAATAAAACTTTCCTGTGATAATTGACCATAAACATTATTTCCCAATACCCAGCTCCACATTAAACTCAAGATTCCATTCCTAACCTACCAACACCTAAACAGAAAAATAAATAAGCAAATTTATGCAAACTCTGTATTACCCTAAACCTACCTAGCAGGATAAGGATTTTGGTTATTTCTGCCACACTGCATCAATTAAAGGAAGCTATAGTTTATTTTTGAAAAACAGTGAAAAACCTGGTATCTGTCGTTGAGCATCTGTAGATTATACTGCTTATCAGCCCTCAATTCCTGGACAGCAGCAGCATTCTGGAGGAATGCAACAAGGGGGGCAGCACCCTCCTCAAGTGACTTGAGTCTGGCAACAACTTCAGCACGGCGTTCAATCATGTCTTGAGGGACATCCTCAGTGTGGTAGAGGCTCTTGTGAATGTCCATAGCATAATCAACCATGTTAGTGTTATTGAGAAGGTCAATCTTCGCCTTCAGAATGTCATCATCGTTGTACAGCTGGCGCTCCTGCAGGAACTCCAGAAGAGGGAACACCAAGTGCCTATCCAGATTTGGCGCCATCCTTGGGGTTAAATCATACTCAGCCATTGCCACAGCCCACGCTGCACTTCGCAGTGTAAGATTATAAATACTTTTACCTAGAAAGACAAAGATTATATCAAATAATTGGTTATCTATTATTAAATCATTTAGGTTATCTAATCTCACATCTTTTATGAATTGAAATAATACATTTTTCAAACATAACTCCATGTGTTACCCGAAAGTTTATTCATAAAAAATTACAAAAAAAGACAGTCCATGTTCATATAGGTTCACGAGTTAAAGATTACATTGCTGCAGTGCAAAAGGAACTTGAACACACAACAAAAGAAACTCGTAATATAGAAAAGGATCTAGAACTATGAATCTCTGATTATGCGCCATCACCGAAACAATTAATAATGAATGATGTGCCTAGTATAATTACAGAGAAGGTTTCAGCTACAGGTAGCAATTAACAAACAAACAGCTTAGAATAATAGATAAAATAAATGTTAGTGTATGTATAATATGTAATATACAAAGAGCTCAGTCAGACTCTTGTACTTTTGGCAATATATAAAAGGAAGCAGAAACAGACGCAGGTAATGCTACTCACGAAGATGCTGGAACGTTGCTAGCTGCTCACTGCTCTGAATGAATAATCGATGAAGACGAAGCAGAAGAAATTACACAGAGCAATTGCTATACCCACACACAGGAAAATGCACAGAGCAGAGATGCCCACGATACGTAACGCACACACACCAAAACGCTTGGGCTGCTATGCACACTCGCAGAGTTAGGGCTCCAATTGGGATCTTTTTCAACTTTAGATAAAAAAAACAAAGTTTTGTTAAGATTCAATTCATAAATTCAGTTCCCAGGCGCTTTTTCAATTTAATGTCCGCATAAAGAAAAAAAAGTTGCAATTTAATTTTATGTTTGATTTTTATTTTAAAAATAATTTTTTCGTTTTAAAAAATAAAATTTATATAAAAATTTATTTTTAAAATAGAAAATAATTTTTAAAACAAAAATTAAATATGCTCTAAGTATTGTTTTTATTAACTTTAAAAATACGTTAATAATGTTGGATAAAAAAGAACAAAAGGTAAAAAAATCAAGAACTAAAAAATAAATGTTAATTATAGAAATTAATTTATAAATAAATATTATACCTTTATAATTTTAAAAATAATAGAAAAAATCAAGAATTGAAACATAAATGTTAATTATAGAAATTAATTTATAAATAAATATTTTATCTTTAAAATTTATAAAATTTTTAAAATCATAAAATTTTTAAAATTAAAAATTATATATTTAAACAAATTTATATTCAGTATAGTTTTATATATTTTAAAGATGATAACTTAAAAAATAGTTTAAAATATTTTATAAAAATTAATACAGAATAAAAATTATAACAAATTTATTAATATTAATACGTTATTCATTTGAATGTATAATATGAGATAAATATATAAAATAAAAAAATTATTGATTTAAGTTCTTATAGTTAAGTTTTGTTAATCTTATATTTAAGACATACTTTATTATTGACTAATAACAAAAATTATTTTATTTTATAGAAACGTGCTCATCTCAATTTCTTAGGTCGAATTTAAACATTTAAATATAAAAAATATTATTAAAAATTAATACATGCATTATATTAAAGTTATAAAAGTATAAATAATTACTTTTATTTTGATAAAATTTTACTATAATTAATTACTTAAAGTTATTTTTAAGAATTGACAGTAACTTTTTTTAATTTTATATTTTTATATTTTATCTTACCTTTAAATGAATAGATACAGTATTAATTTTAAATTTTTATGATTTATTGTATATCAGTTTTTATAGAATATTTGAAAATGATTTTTTATAAAAAGAAAAAAAATATTATTTTTAATATGTGAAACTTCACTAGATATAAGTTTAGTCCCTTAAAATTTTGTAAATTTTTTATTTAGTATCTTGTTTATTTTTCTAAACAAGTCTATAATTTATTTGTTATTATTTTTTATAATACACATTTAGTTTCTATAATTAATACTTATTTACAAATTAATTTTTATAGTTTATATATACATTTTAGTTTTATAAGAATATTTTATGTTTTATGTTTTGGTCTTTCTCATTTAATATTATTAACATATTTTTAATGAAAAAATTAATATAAAAATGTTTACTTATATAAAAATTAAATTATAATCTTTTTATATGTAATGACCAAGTTTAAAAAGTGTATCAACTATAAGGATTAAATTTATAATTTAACCTTAAAAGTTTAATAACAAAAAACTAAAAAAATTGAGCATAGTAATCCTAAACTTGAATACTGTAATTCACACTAACTTTGACCGATTTATGTTCTTTTTCCAAAAGACAACAATCTTGCTAACTTGAGAGCAATTATAAAATTAAATAATATTATATTTCCATTTTGTAAGATGATTTTGCAAATTTTTTAATAAATTTTTTTATTTTTTTAATATTATATACCACTCTTCTTATAGTACATTTCCTCTCCTAAATTGCAAGCATTGATGTAAAAAATTATTGTATTAGAGTAGAATCGTCCTGTAAAATATAGAAAATTCCATTCCACCATAGGTATTTAAGTACAAGGTATATCAATTGTTGAAAGAATATAAACAATATCCATTTCCTTACAGTAACGTGCTTCCTTATAGTTTTGTTTTTACAAAGATAAATACTAGGTAATAAATAGTATTTGCAACTCTCCAGGTATAGTTTATCGTAACTCTATCAATTAGAAAGAAGACAATGAAGTTATATCCAAACAAGCTTGTTTATTGCGTTGAGTTTTACGATTTATTTCTTGAATATGAGAGATTATTCTAACAATCGAGAGCGATTATAGTTGAACTATTAATGCTTTCTGAATTCAGAAGGTTCAACAAATTATGCAAAATGGTTACAAACACTAATTGTCCGGATAAAACATTTATCATCAGGAGAACCTACTCCAAGAGGTATACACCCCACAAATCTGAATGTGATTCTAAATCCCAGAAAACAATAAACAAAATGATGCATCCGAAAAGATAAAAATAACTACTCTCGTCGATCTACCTAGACAGTTATCGAGCTGCTTGAGCTTGTGCATGTTCCAGAAGTTGACTAACCAACTTGTAAGTACGCCCATTAAGGGCCTTGGTATGGTCTATCAGCTGCTCATACCTGTGAATATAGCACTTCAAAGATTGAGGGTCTTAAAAAGGAAAGAATGGGTCAACCTATCTGAGGCAGAATGGTACAATAAGAAATAGGAAGTAATAAAACCCGTATCTATCAAGTTAGTTATCTATGCTAAACTTACACATTTGGATGATTAGGTTCCATGATAACTGTTCCTGTTTGAGAATCAATCTTGGCATCAAGCTTCGAGCTACGGATGAGATTAACAATCCATCTCTCAGCCTCGTCATAATTCAAATTTAACTTCTCAGCAAGAACTCTGAAAAATATCAGAATTGAACAATTCCATCTTAGAAGTTTCAATTACCTCTAATAATCCTCTGTATATCATTTAGTTGTATTGTATAAAAACTAGTAGACCAGAGGAAATCATCAACAAACAAATACAGAGAGAAAATATAGCATTTATATATTAAAAAACCTCATAAAAATGAAAAATAAAGAGAAGTGCAAGTGCAAAACCTTTCAAGGCCACAAAATAAAAGGCACAACTCTTATTTTGTGCCTTTGCTATTGAGAAACTGACCCAGATCAATGGCACAGAGCTAGATTGTGTTTTATGTGGGTGCAAAATTGTGGCATATCATAAATATTATGAACCCAAGGGGAGCTACCACATCTTATATTAGAAAGAAGGTGCATACCCCATGTCAATGCGCTGGTGTATTCTACAGTATGTCTCAAAGATAAATAGCCTAGCATTTTCAAGGAACTCGTCCCTCAATGGCACAGCTGAAAAGTTGCTTTCTTCAACCCGTTTGCCAAGGAAAGGATCATTGAGAATGACCTGTATTATTGCAAATTGGTAAGTAAAGTAATCAACACATGAAGGGTAGTTCGTAACTAGCATGGACAAAAATGTTATGAGAAAAAGGAAAAACTGAATAAACTGTATTAGTTCACTCCTCAACAGACAAAAGCACACTTACTTCTTCGCATTCTCTCATCTTCTTTTGTGCTCCATCAAAGTCATAGTTGACATAAACACAAGCCAAAAACTCAGTGATGGGGTCCTTATATGAATGTTGCTCTTGTTGAATAACTTTTATAAAATCTTTGAATTGAGGTCTCCTGCGCTTGTTAACAATGAACGCTGTGGCCAAGTATCGTAAAAGATGCGGAGCACTGGTTTGGATTGCATTTAGATACCTGAAAATTATACACATCTTAGATGAAGCAACATTACAAATACGAAGCTCTGAATATGCAAGAATAAAGTGACCTAAGAGAAAGCAGTAATTAACCAGTTTGAGAAGGATTAACAGCAAAGATAAAATATTAAAAATACACCCCAACTACAAGTAAGCTAAGGTATCCAAGGAAGGGAGAGATGAGTTAACAAGTCTTACTTGTCTTGATAAAACAGATCAATTATCTGCGTTCTCCCATTGTCATGATTGAAAAAGATGAACAGACTCCAGTGCATCAACCATATTCGGCTTTGCACCTGATTCAAAGGTGATGCAAAATTCTGCAAGAGAGTTCACTGCTAGTAATTAGTCTCCTAATATAATAAGCATAACAAACAAGTACATGCAGCTACTCCAAAGATCAACTGACAGACAAGAACAACCTTTGAGTCAATGCTTTCCTTCAAACGATTGAGCTCTTCAAGTGCAATGTCCCAGTTCTGCATCAATATTTCAGCTGCCAGCTTTCCCCACAATGCACTTAAACTCCTTTCATTATTTGTGCATAAAGCTCTGTACTGATAAAGATAGTCAGCAGCGCCAGAGTAGTTTCCACACTCAAACTGAAACTTGGCATAGTGGTATAACGCCTCTATTTGTGCAGGACCAATCTGTTACAGCAAAATCATCATTTAAGTAGTCAGTAAGAACTCAAATACAACAAAATTCAAAATTTTTAAAAATACTGCAGCAAACAACAATCAAAATAGACAGACAAAATGTATGTAAAAAAATTTTAAGAAATAAACATGTATGACATTACTAGGATACTATTGCACTTAGAAGTGGGATTTTATTAAGGACAAGGTGCAGTCTAATAGTGATCGACCCCTGCATGAATACATGTAAGGGGATCAGCAGCATCAGCTGATGGATGCAGCTCCACAGGGCCCACTATTTGGTAGGTCTAGTCAAGGAGAAAGAGCGCCAATGAGGCAGGTAGTTAGAGGGGGGAGAAGAATTCTGTTATGCAGCAGTGAGAGGACTATAGGAATAGGAAAAGTTGAGAAACCGAGAAAGAGACAGGTAGGCAAGTATTTGTTGACTTAATATAATGTAGCTCTGGAGGAGTTGTGCCTTGCGTACAATTTCACACTCTCGTTTGTGTTAATCCATTTCTATTTTCTGTCAATTTCTATCAAATCACCCCAAGGTCCAAGTCAATAGCTTTAGATCCTTATTGGCAAGTGACATTTTCTAAAGTTTACTAGTATAATCAATAACATCACCCAGAACCTTTTGAGTAATTAGTATCTCCTACTTCTACTACTTAAATCTTACCAATAACTGCCAATAAACAACCTTATTCGGTCTGAGAAAAAAATTTTCCATTTCCACTTTCTGTTTCCACAACTAACCACACCTTGTTTTTATTCCATCTACTGCTTTCTCAAGTCAATTAGACCCTTAGGTCGCATTAAGGAATGTTTTAACAGTCCCAGGAAAGTGACATGAGAAACTTCTACTCCCATGTTTCATAGAATAAAATATAAATATTTTCCATGCATTAAAGAGTGAGGGAATTTTAACTTGTGAACCACCTTCATAGGTGGAAATAAACTTTCCATGATAATTGATCATAAACATATTTCCCAATACCATACACTACCTTAATCTCAATATTCTATTCCTAACCTACCAAAACCTATCCAGAAAAATAAATAAACAAATTTATGCAAACACTGTATATAACTATATATTACCCTAAACCTTATTTTTGCAAACACTACATCTACATCAATTAAAGGAAACTATAATTTAATTTTGAAAAACAGTAAAAAACCTGGTATCTATCATTGAGCATCTGTAGATTATACTGCTTATCAGCCCTCAATTCCTGGACAGCAGCAGCATTCTGGAGGAACGCGACGAGGGGGGCGGCGGCCTCCTCAAGGGACTTGAGTCTGGCAACGACTTCAGCACGGCGCTCGACCATGTCCTGAGGGACATCCTCAGTGTGGTAGAGGCTCTTGTGAATGTCCATAGCATAATCAACCATGTTAGTGTTATTGAGAAGGTCAATCTTCGCCTTTAGAATGTCATCGTCATTGTACAGCTGGCGCTCCTGCAGGAACTCCAGAAGAGGGAACACCAAATGCCTATCCAGATTCGGTGCCATCCTTGGGGTTAAATCGTACCCAGCCATTGCCACACTCCTCGCTTCAGATAACGATATTGTTCTAAGGTAAACACAAACAGTTCGATTAAAACCTCAATGGATAACAACATAAACGGATTTTCCATGACAAAAATAACAAAGCAAAACACAACAGAAACGAATTGAGAAATTGCTATGAAACTGAAAAATCTATGTACGTAGTTAGGGGGCAAATTGAATTTGCAATTAAGCAATTTAGGTTTTGAGTGAGATGGGATCCGACTGCGCTTGCGAGTGGGAGAAAACGAGATAGAGTAAGGGATACCTGCGGCGTCGTGTGGCAATAGCAGCTTCTCCGCTTCCTATGCCCTAGAGAGGGTTGAAAATGCAGAGAGGAAGTTTACACTAATAGGGTTTTTTTTTTTTTGTCTAAACAGAAATAGGGTTTAAAAATTTTAAAACGATGTTCTTTAACTTTTTATTTTAACAAAGAAATATTAAAAATAGCCTTATATATTAATATATTCACCTTTTTGAAAAACAAAATTAACAATATCTATCAAATATTACTAAGCTTATCATTGGCTTTATTGATTTTTTGGGCTCCTTTGTAATCAATTATAATTTATATCTTTCATTTAAGTTTATTGATAAAAAAAATAATTTATCTTCTTCTTTTTTGTATTACATCTATATTTTTTTGGTAAAGTATTTAATTTATGTTGTTTTTTCATGTCACGTCTATTTTATTTTTTGGAGAAATATTACATCTATTTTTTTATATTTTATTTTGTCACTTAAATTTTTTGTTTGTTTGTATCAATGTCTTTTATTATTTAGCTTAATTTAGTTTTTAAAAAAAAAATTGTCAATGTTTTTTTTTCCTAACTCTGCTCCATCTTTTTTTTTTTACTTTTTTTTTTTGCTTAAATTTTTTTAACTTTTATTGATTCAAGTGATTTTGTATCAATAAAAAAATTATCCGAGATGGATTTAATGAAATTTGGTCAATAATTGTAGCTTTACAATAATCTTAAGTCTATAATCAATATCTATTTATAATTTATTTTCATATAACACACATACATATATATTTTTAGCTTTATAACTTTTTATTTATGTAAAAATAAATAAGTTTTCGTTCTCTTATTAAAATGTAATTAATATTAGAATATCTCCAAAACTATTTATAAAATTTATTAAATTAATAATCATAATAAAATAAATTTAAATCATGTTATAATTTTAATTTGTTAAATATTATTTTGATATGATACTTAATTATAAATTATATATAATTTCACTTTCTCATACGAGACAAACTACATCTATTATAAAAAAATTACATCATGAAATTAAATATATTTATTTAAATTAAATTAAATTAAAAATATAATCAAATCATAGTATGGTATTTTTATAAATAAATTATTTAGATATAACAAAATTTGTCTTCATGATTTTAATGAAGTAATAGCTATAAAATGTTAAAATCAAGTATAAATGAAGAAATTTTATATTAAATACAAATTATGATTTGTAATGAACTAATCGCTATAAAATATTGAGATAAGTATAAATAAAAAATTATATTAAATAAAAATAAAAAAGTTAAACAATATATAAGTGAGAAGAATTCATATTTCAAAAGTTTTAGTATTTTTGAGTTGAGTACAATAATAAATTATAATTATATGATTGTTCTCTGTTAACGAAGATGTCTGCTAATACGTAGGCAACTTCTTTATTGCTAAAAAAATGAAGAGATTCCAATATTTGAAAGTTGTTTAAAACTCTACGTCAATAGATTAAAAAATAGTCATAATATCCTAAAATAAAATATTATGAAAAAAATATAAATTAACCGATAAGAACCTCATCTATCTTATACTTTTTCGGTGAAGGCTTCTACAAGTGCTTCATCCAAACACACCTATACATTTGTTTGCTCGACATAACTAAAAAGTTGTATCTTTACTTGCACTGCAAATAAAAATTTTCTTTTCTTGCAACATATATCACCTTTTCACTGTAAAATTCTTGAAGTTTAGATCCATTTCTTTTGTAAAGTATTCCTAATCTCGGGCAAATATTATAAAGGTGGTAGAATGAGTTCCATCAACAATCCTTAGTTGAATGTTATATTTCTTGACATGATATTAACATGGTAAAAGTAAGACATCTTTAAGATTCAATCAACATAATCCAAATACACAAAGAATTAATATATATTAATTTTAACTTCTAAAATAAGTCAATAATTTTTTTTTCAAAGTATATAAATATAAAGTGACGTAGTTATGCTAATAGAACCAACATCAATTTAATGCATGTATTTAAACATTAACATAAATAGTACTTATGTTATAAGATAAATTTAAAATAGATGAAGCACTCTTAAAAGGACATAAAAGTTATTAGATAACATGCATAGTACAACAAAATATATTTAAAGTATTAACTATTATTTTCTTAAGCTACTAAAAATGGTAGGACTGTGAGCATAAAAGACTCGTAAGTAAATGTTGCAGAATCCATAAACTCATTATCCTTTTCTTTGAACTTGTGAGTTAATCCCTGTAATACACAATTAAAAACTCAGATATTTTCATAAGCAAAAATAGAAATGTGTCATTTTTATTTTAATATAATATAAATTGTTTCATTAGAATTTAAGTTTTGGTTCGTTCTATGAAATAAATCATTCATGAATTACTAAAATTTCACTAAAGAAACATCATGTGTTTTTAATATTATTGTTATAGTCAACTATCTAAAAACAACTATGTGTATGGTTAAATTCATGTGGAATAGATTGTTATTTTAGTCTTTATATAATAATGTAATCAATCTCTGATGTTAAAACATTGTCACTTCAATTATGACTCTATAAATTAACATTTATTTTAATTTTTTATATATATGTACAAAACGTCAATGTAGTAGAAGAAAAAAAAAACTATTATGAATAACTTTTTATAAAATTAAAAATGAAAATAGAAATTTTATAAACTCACATATTAATATCACTGACACTAACAATCTTAAAAAACTCTCTAAAATTGTCATTTTGCTTTTTTACTTTTCATACTCCCCACAATATAATTTAAATTATAAAAATAAAAGTATAAATAAGAGTAACGTCATTACTCACCTTAACAATGATGCAACATCTGCATATGCATGAGCAAACAAAAATAGAGAATTAATTAATATATACATTTACAACCAAAATAAAAACAGTATATATATTGCTGGTATAAACTGAAATTTTCAATTTTATTGAGAGATTTTTTTGTCTCCCATTTTAAAAATATGAGTGTCTTAGCTTTTGTAATTATTATATATATAAGGACAAATTTTAATTATTTTCTTTTTTGTTATAACAAAAGAAAAAACTTTTTTATTATTATAATGTAATAAATTTTCAGTTTTGTTTTAAGCATGAGGTTAAATATCCATATAATAAACGTTCATTGAAAAAGAAAATATATTTATTACACTTTTATATTTTTAATGTAATAAATTCTTAATTTTTCAATAAATTTTTGTTATTTTTAAATGCAAAAAGCAAATAGTAAATTTTTATCCCGTAAAAGATAAAGAAATTAAGCAAAGGCATACTCGATGAAATTGTCATATTCTATAGCCCTGTTTAATCCACCAGTTTTGTCAAACTTGGAGACGAGCAAATCCAACACCAAAGGAGAAACAGCATAACCCAAACTCAGCAGAGCATCACGCAATTCAGATGAGTCCATTTTGCCACTCCTATCATTATCAAACCTCTCAAAAATTCCCTGCAATAATAATATTATTAAATCAGAATAATATGTTCCAATAAAGAGAGGGTAATTTGTCAAGTTAATAATCTAAATTAACGAAGAAAAGGAAATACCCTCCAATTCTGTAGACTCTGAAACAGAGAGGTGAATTCAAGGGGTCCTGCGTTACAAAGTCGAAGAGAACCAACAATGAAACAGCACGTTAATATTTGAAATCTTAGGACAAATATCACCTAAAATAAAATTAACTCACACACAAGATTAAGTTAAATCTCTTTTGTGAATTTCTGTCATGTTAATTAACCTTATGGTTTTATTAACACCCTCACCTTCAAATCTAATCTTTATTAAAAAAAAATGGCTTAAATATGTTGGTCCTTATAAATGATAAATTCTTATAAATATTTTTGTTAAGAAATAATTACTGAATAATTAGACATTTAGGATTTAGTATATATTGTTAACTTTTTTTCCATTAAACACTAGACTAGCTTTTTCTGTGACACCACATGACATGTTAAGTCATTTGTTTTTTTATTTAAAATTAAAATTTACAAATAAATTTTCAAACTTATTTTATATAATTGTATAAAAGTTCTTTCTCCTTACTCACTTTTTTCTCTTCCCTATACTCCCTTCCCCACCACTGCTCTCCTCCACCCACTCTCATTCTTCCATTAGCACCTCTCACTTTCCTTTCTCTATCACTCATTTCCTCCATCCCTTCCCCACATCCTTCTCCCTCTAACACTCACACTTGTTCCTCACATTGGCACTATTCTTTTTCTTTTCCCAAGTCCCTTTCTCTCTAACACTTACACTCCTACCATCATCCACACCACCCCCTCTTCTACCCCTTTCCTTTCTCTTATCCACGCCATCCCCACACCTCCACCCTTTCTCCACATCTTTCTCCATCCGACACTCACACTTCTATCTCCCTTTAACACCCACACCCATTCCTCACATATGCATTACCCTTCTCCCTTCCTCACATCCTTTTCTCTCCAACACCCACATTTCTACTACCATCTTAACTATCTCTTCCTTTTCTCCTATCCGCGCCATTCTCGCATCCTTCTCCCTTCAACACCTACACTATCTTGCCTCCAACACCCACACTTCTGCCACCATATGCATCACCCCTCTCCCACCCCTTTCCTTTCTCCTATCTGTGCATTCTCCACACCTGCACCACATCTTTCTCCCTTTGACACCTACATTTCTATTTCCCTTTAACATTCATACCCATTCCTCACATCCGCATTACCCTTCTCTCTTCCCTATATCTCTTTCTCTCTAACACCCACACTCCTACCACTATCTGATTCTCCTTTTCCTTTCTCCTATTTGCAACATCCCTATACCCCCACCCCTTCCCCACATTCTTCTCTCTCTAACACCCACACTCATTTCTCACATCACCACCCTTCTCCCTTGTTGCAATTAGGCGATCGCAAGGGTACGGCAAAAAAAATTTCAAAAATATCAGATGACTAAAATTTCGTAGCAAAGTGACTTACAGATGTGCTATTTGGCTAAAAATGAAAAGAAAGTCCTAATAACAATAAGTAACAAAATAAAATAAGAAAAGAGAATAAAAAAAAAAGAAATCATGGACTGTAGATGGAATTGATGGATGCATGTTACTAGTTCCCAGGCCATTATTCTAGCGTACAAAATTTATATTAAATGATATCAAATCATTACTTTGTTTTGACAATAAAATAATAATAACCTATTAATAAAATAAATGAATAAACAATAGAAATGATGGAATCTTCCTATTCTTTATCTGTCGACTTCCTACCCCTTAACTTCTATTTCAACAAACCACAAAAATTCAAAATATGGATACAAAGAGGAAATGATTTTATATGTACAGACACAAAAATATTTTGAATGCAATATATGAACCAGTGAATGTTTTGGACCTAAACAATGAACAAACAAATATTTTAGATTTGAGCAACAAATGAAGACGGTGGAAGGGCTAAAATGGTGTGGCTTTTTCTTCTTTTAGCTTCTAAAATTTTGTATTCTTCTTACTTAATATTCCTCTCCTCCTTCGAAATACTTATTCTTCATTTTGCATCTCATTTCATCATGTTTTCTTCTTCAAAACAATTTTTTTTGCCCCTAAAATTTTACTTTCTTCGAAAAAACCCTATTAACTCCTTTAAAATCTCCTTAAAAAAAACTAGTTCTTCCTCCTCTTAGATCTTTCTAAAAAAAATTTTAAAATAATCTGCCGCTCTTTAAATTTTTTCGTTTCTCTCCAAAACCCCTCTCAAATCTTTTACTTGTATTTATACGAGTCCAGTTTTTCTCATTTTAGGGTTTCATATGAAAACAAGCTTCTGAACATTTCCCTTTCTTCTGTATGGAATTTACTCTGTGAGCTAGGTGTAAGCCTGCCTGCCTGATGCAAGATTTTCGTTTATAGGAGTCAAATCTCTTTTTTCAAAATTTTCTATTTTTTATGTAAAATAATTTTATTTTTATATATATTTAAAAAAAAATTGGAGGCAATCTCCTGGAGGCAAACAAAAATTAGTATTCACATCCCTTCCCTACATCTCTTTCTCTCCAACACCCACACTCCTACCAACATCCACACCACTTCCTCTCCACTCCAAACAAAATTCGATACATTGAACTTCTCTGCCAACTCAACAGTGTCCACAACCATCTTCCTCACATCTGCCACATCACCATCATTCTCGTGGCAAGTTGGTGATTTTCGAGGTTGAAACAACGATACAATAGAGGAAACCAAGGGAGAGTTGAACGACGAAACCATAGTAAGTAGAGAAAGCGTGAAAGCTTTGATAGGATAAGTAAGAGATGAGGGAAGGGGGGAAGAAGGGGTGCTGGAAGGGAGTTGTGAGAGAAGGGGAGGGAAAGGGAGGAATTGCGAAGAAGAAAGAAAGAAATTTAAAGAGACTTTTATGTAGTTATATAAAATATATTTAGGGACTTATTTATAAATATTAATTTTAAATAATAAATAATATGAAATGCCATGTAAGCTGTGACTAAACCTCGAAATGACTATATGATGTAATGTGAAGTGTTGAATTAGCTCAACACTTAACATAGAAGAGATTAACTGCAGACACTAAATCATAAATTTCTAACTTTCTAAGACTTTTTAACAAAAATATTTATAGGACTTTTCAAAAAATGACCTACATTTATAAAGACTAATAACATATTTAAACCTTAAAAAAACATATTCATTATATAAATAATAAATTTTCTTCATCTTTAAATTCTTAAAATTAGTTTTAATCATAAATGTTAATATTTTTTTAATTATATATAAATTATGATATTCATTAGTTTTTGAAAAGGATTGATATAACTTACGTTTATAATTATTAAAGACTAAAGTGAGAACTTCACAACAAATATGAAAAACGTCCAAAATTTTCAGGGAAAAACTTGGAGTTATTCTATTTACTCAACAAATTTATCTGAATAGCTCACAAGCAGACCAACGGAAAACAAGCAACAAATTGAGTTAGGAGTCATGAAGACGCGTTTTTTTATTTTTCAGAGCAGTTACATGCAAAGTTGCTACATTTAATATCTTTTTATTCAATAATTTTAAATATATATATATATAATGTAAAAAAATAAAATTACTAAAAAATACTTAAAAATATTTTTTATCTCTGATTTTTTTTAAATTTTAGTCATTCAAAATGATTTTTTTATTTGATTTGAGTCTCCATTTTTATAAATTTAATAATTTAAATCTGGGTGGTAACACAACACGACAAAAAATATAATGTGTAAGAACTTTAAAATCGGTCATATAAATTATGGTTAAAAGATCGAAGTGTTAAAAAATTGAAGAATAAAATATTAGAAAAACATAAAGATTAAAAAAAGATTTAAACGAAAAAAGAAAAAGCAATGAGGAAGAAGAGCATGCAGCAGTGATGGAGAAGAGTACCAATTTTGTTGAGATTGGTGTCAGTGAAGTGAAACATGAGGAGATGAACGGTCCTTAAGCTGAAGCTTTGGTCGTGAGAAGAGAGTGCTCTCTGCATTTCGACGTCATCGATGAAACCACTTCCGTCTTGGTCTGCGAGCTGGAAGCAGGCCACGACGGTCGGGTCGGTGCCGGGAGCGAATGTCGACGGCAGAAGCGAGGCGAAGGGGCTCGCCGGCGGTGGGTAGCCGTAACCGGAAGGGTGGTTAGGATAGGCAGACATGTTGAAATGAGAAGAGATGAGTTTGCGATGCTTAGTGCTTGAGTCAGCCTCTCCATTTATACACAAATGCTGTTGTCCTGTTGTTAATGTATTTGTTGTTTACTGCTCCCAATGAATTTGATTTTTAATAATAATAATAATTTAAATATATTCAAAAAATAGAATCACTATATCAAACATGAAAATCAATTCATAAAAAAATTAGTTATAATATTTAATATTATTAATATATTTCTTTGATTTATAATACAAGTATTTTACTGAGGTAATTTATTTAAATTAAATAAAAAATTTTATTGAATATTTAATTAATTTACGTTAATTGAGACTTGAATTTAAAATTACAACTACATTTAATTTAATAATATAATATAAATTTTATTAAAAAATTATTATATATAAACTTTTATTATATATTATTAGATATATATAAAAATTAATAACAATAATAATATAATTTTTTTAATTTTCGTAATATTCTATAAGATAAAAAATTATATTATTAATTTTTTATTAAAAATTATAGCATTTAATTATATTAATATGTTATTTAAACAAAAAATAGTATTAATACATTAAATTACATTGACATGTATAATTTTTAATACAAAATTATTATATATAACTTTTTAAGCTGTACAATACAAAATAGGTTAAAAAATTTGACAAGAGTTTTATTTATTTCTGATAAAAGTAAAAAAAATATTAAAAAATGTTTATTTATTATATTAAAACTAAAAATAATAATAAATATGTATTTATCTCAAGATTATAAAAAACATTTAATGCATAATTATTTGTAGTAATTTAAAGTATGTGTTTAATATTTTATATAAGGTGTGAATGGACATTTTTTTTTTAAATAATGAATATCTTTTATTAAAGATAGTTTTATTTTTGTATAAATTTTTATAAAAATGTTATATTTAACATAAACTTTGAAACGAATAATTAAATTTATTAATTTTATATTTTATAAAAAAAATATTAAAATGTGTAAATGTCTAAGGCATGTATTAAAAGATTTAAAATATCTTTATTTGTTTTTAAAATTATAAAATATTAAATACATATTTTTATGATAATTTTAAATATTTAATAAGATGTATTTAATATTCTGACCACCTATACTTGGATCTGTTTAAAAACATAGTAATAATTACATTATTAATTACTTATCATTAATTTTAAATGTTGAATTTAATATTTTTCTAATAGTAATAATAATATCAAAATTTTAATGTATGTTAAAAAAATTTAAAAAATTATTAAAATAAATACTTATTGTTTAAAATTATATATAAAAAATCCAATGCATAATTGTATAATTAAAAAGTTTAATATAATGCATTTAATGTTTCTAAGCTTGTACCTTATACATACTTTAAAAAGTAGTAATAATATTAATTATTACTAGCTTATCTTCAGTTTTAAATATTGAATTTAATGTTTTTTTTAATATAATAATATTTAATACATATTTTATAATAATTTAAAGTATTAATTAAGATATATTTAAATTTTTGAATGTGTAGCTTGAACATACTTTAAATTAATAATAATAACAGTAATAATTAAAATATAAAATATTAATTTTATTAACTGGAATAGTTTATTTTGAAACTATTATACATGTATTAAGAGACTGTACCTTTACTATAAATGTTTGGAATTATTTAATTTTTCTTAAATAATAGACTTTTTTTTTTTAGTTTAAACTTTTGTAATTGGTTATTTTTAAACTTATCTGATTCTGCCATTAGCACTTTTAAAAATTGGTAAAGTATTTTTGGATATATTGTTGTATCTTTGGAAGAATAGAAATGATTTTATTTTTTTTTAAACAGATCCGATAAGTCTAATAGCTTAGATGGTACCCTCCCTCAATTGGACAATTTAAGTTAAACACTGATGAAGTTGTTCTTAAGATTGATCCTGTTGTTTCTGCATGTGGAGGCATGATTCGTAATTATCAAGGCCAATTAGTTGCTGGATTTTATAGTTTCTTGAATAGAGATAGAAACAGGACAGGTCAGGCCAGCTTTACTCTAGACAGACATGGCATGTAACATAATTATTAGGCCTAACCTGTTACCTATTAAAGACTTTATTTTAGGTCTGACTTGGCTAGAAGCCTGTTATAAAAAAAAATTAATATTAATAAAAATATAAATATTTTATTATCAAATTAGATATTTTTCTAATTTCTATCTATGTTATTAATAATTATTAAATAATTATAATAATATTTATATAATTTTATAAATAATTTTTCAAATATTATTTAAGTATTAATTATAAATATTTCATATTAATAAAATTTATATTTATATTTTTCTTGATTTATTTTTTAAAAATTATATAAATAGTAAATATTTTAATTTTATTTTAGAAATATTTTGTTTGTTTAAAGACATCTTATATTCAACAAATAAAGTTATAGTAAACACATAAAATTGATAAAAAAAACAACATTCACACAATTTATTGAATTAATTAAAAGAAAATTATTATATTTTAAAAAATAAATAAAATTAAACTTAATGTAATATATATAATGACAATAATAATAACTATTAAATTAAAAAATAATTATAAAATATTTAATTTTATTTATTTTATTAATTTATTATTTTAAATTAATAAATAAACATAAAATTAACTACATTATAACATTAATGTAATATAAAAAATATTACTGATACAATAAATTAAAACATATATTTATATATTTTATATAAATTGATAAATTAACTAATAATTTAATTAAAACATGTGCAAGTTATAAAAATATATATTATTATATAATTTATTTATAATTATATTATTTATATTATTTGTTACATGGTCTGATTATATATATATATATATATATATATATATATATATATATATAGTTAATAGTTCCAGTCACCAACCGGAACTGTAGAAATAGTACTTTTTGATTTCCTTTATAAGGAGGCCTCGACCATATTGTGAGGTACCCTTTCATTTAGCAACATAAGAGAGATTTAAGAGAGAGAAGCTCTGAGAGAAAAACTTCTTGTAAGCCTTCTTCTTCTTTGAGATCTTTCAATAAAATTTGCTGTTTAAACCTTTTCACAATTATAATTAGGTCCCTAGTTCTGGGTTTAGCACTAGATTCCTCAGAAGGTTGAGGAGTGTCGGGAATAGTAGTAAGGAGGCTAGTAATTTTACTAAGCAACTCATTCTGGTTTTCCTCATTCACCTTGGCTTTTTCTCTTTGCCTGAGTTCTACGATTTTCTGCTTAGCTTTGGCACTAATCTGAAAAGGTTTAAACAGAGGTTTTTCTAATTGTGGTTAGGAGGATGAAGAAGCTAAACCCAGAACTAGGTCCCTAGCTAAAACTGTTAATGTTATTTCCAAAGCTGATTCAGAACATTGTTCTGAAACAGACTCTGTTCTAGCCATCAATCCAATCAATAATTGGAAAAATTCATCCAAACTTTATTATAATAGAGCTACTGCTCCTGACCTTATTTTAGAAGAAAAACAAGATTTTATTCAAAGTTTCAATTCTAATGATATTTATATTTGGAATATCGATGGATTATCTGAATATAATATTATTGCCAAACTTCAAAATATGTCGGTTGTCGCTATGAGATATTTTACTAATCAAAATATGCCTGAAGACACCATTGTCTATATTCTTGTTGCTGGTTTTACTGGCCAACTCAAAGGTTGGTGGGATAATTATCTCACTGAAACTGATAGAGATAACATCCTCTCTGCAGTTAAAATTGATGATAAAGGGAAAACCATTGTTAATGACAATGAGCGTCTCCCTGATGCTGTGTATACTTTGTTATACACAATATCCCAACATTTTCTTGGTGATCCTTCTCTTTGGAGGGAAAGATCAGGAGAACTTCTTTCAAATCTCAAATGTGATTCCTTGGAACATTTCAAGTGGTATAAAGATACCTTTATGTCTAGGGTCCTTACTAGGGAAGATTGTAACCAAGCCTATTGGAAAGAAAAATATCTTGATGGTCTTCCTAAAGCATTCGGAGATCTTATTAGAAGTAAACTCCGAAGTCGTTCTCCTACTGGAGAAATTAATTATGATAATTATGATTATGGACAGCTTACTGCTATTATTATCCATAGTGGTATTAAAGCCTGCCAGAAAGATAAACTCCAAAAACAACTTGCTAAAGAAAAAGCTTTGAGCAAGAAAGAATTAGGTTCATTCTGCGAACAGTTTGGTCTTCCATCCTGCTCTCCCAAAAAGAAGAAACATACCCCTAAGAAAGAGGCTGTAGAACCTTACAAAAAGCCCTACAAACGCAGGTACAATAGAAAACCCAGTCCTAAGAAACAAGGGGATAATGTCATCCCCACCAATATTCCCAAAAAACCCAGAACAGGCATAACCTGTTACAATTGTGGTAAACCTGTCCATATTAGTAAATACTGCAGGTTAAAAAAGAAAATTAGTAGTCTTAATTTGGATCCTTCTTTAGAAGACCAGATTAACCATCTTTTGGCTGATTCCTCTAGTGAAGACGCTGATAAAGAATCTGAAGAGGATGTTAACCAAATTCAAAATGATGACCAAGCTTCTTCTTCTGACAGTGACGAAACTCCAGAAATCAATGTTTTGACAAAAGAACAAGATCTTCTTTTTGAAGCTATAAGCTCTATTTCGGATCATCAAGATAGAAAAGAATTTTTAAATAAATTCAAAGAGGTTTCAGAAAATAAACCTAAACCTAAAGAATATTTTACTTCAAACAAATTTGACATTACAAATATTTTCAAAAGATTAGAAAAGAATTCTAGCATTAAACCAACCACTATACAAGATCTCCAGATTGAGATAAATAATCTTAAGAAAGAGATTAGAGAAATCAAAGATCAACAACAAATTCATCAAGTTATTCTTTCTCAGTTAGATAATGATTCTGACATTGAGAAAGTAGAACTTCCTGAAGATAATGATTCTGTAAAGGTTGATTCTGATAATCCAGAA